AATAGTCGCTTTCATGACGTATTTCCTATTACAGATCACTATGAAGTCAAGTGTTGGATGAGAAAAGGCGTCGGACCACGCGGATTCCAATAGAAGCGACACCCTCAGCCAAACCCCGGTTTAGGATAGAAGTAAGCGACACTCAACTACGAAGACTTCGAAATACGAGTGTATTGAGGAACAATCTGAGATCAAGCCAAGAGGCGAAAAAATATAACATCATATCTAAATACTGTAATCTATTTTTGTTTTTTTTTCCCCTCATTTGTTGTATCTCCCAATTTTCTCAATAAATGTTTATTTTAGCAAATGTTTTAATCGAGTGCGATGAAAGCGAACAACGAGGGGGGAGGGGGCTATCGGCTGAACACAGGTGGATCGCGCAGAACACTATATGGGCGCATTGTGGCCCGCGGGCATACTGTGAATGCGCGCATATAGCGTTCGTTATGCCCTCTATATGGGCTGGTGGTTGCTGGTGGGCGGTGGTGGGCGTCGAGTAAGCAGGGAAAGCATATGCCCAGTCCGTGCTCGCATATAGGTTCCATATTCCCTCAACATTCTAATCGAGTGCAAACAAACTGTAAACTTCGATCCCATATATATCATTTCCTGTAAAAGATATCAGAAAATGATCAACTGACAAAATGTTTATTATAATATCAAAGACATTCTGTACAACTTTTTGATATCTTTCACAGGAACCCAGATAAATTAGCTCAAAGTTTAAAGTTAAAGGGGAAGGGGTGGATCATTCTATAATGTGTCTTCACGGAAACCTGATGGCATTTACAGAACATGTAAATGCTTTTTGCAGAAATAATAGCTTGAAACCCTTCTCTTGATATTCTCAGGATAAAATTTTTGGTTCCCTAAGAATTGTATTTATGACTGTTGACTATCGAAAAATAGTGTTATCGGGGAAAAGTAGTTAACCAAGACAGATGATCGGAAAACATATACAGCTGCTGAATTTTAGGCTTGGAATTCCATTAAACTTGATGGGAATTTTGTCTTTGAAAATTTCAACATTTTCTGCAGGCTGTGTTGCGACGTTTACTCCAAAAAAACCTGTCAAAATCCGAATTTTATGTTACCATAAAATGCCCTTATGCTCTGTCTGCTTATTTTACATCACAATATTCTATATTTCCACATGAATCGGATTTTTTTGCCCATTTAATTTGGTAATTCCGCTGAAATAGTACACAACGACGCTCCGATATACCGCATCCCGCGTTGTTTACCGTAAATCTACACTCAGATTTTCGATGAATTTGCAGATATTTTTGCCTATTTTTGTTCGATTTTCTTTGATTTTTTACGATTTCACAGGTTTTTTTTTACAAATTTTTCACTTGCGAACTCATTTTCATCGCTTCTAGCCGTTTTTCTCGGGTTTCTACACATAAATTCTTAAAGAAATAATTATTTTAGGCCCACCGATGGATTCCAACGCCTCGCATGTCTACCTAAAGCTAAAAACCAGAAGTTTTCTGCGGATAGCTACAGGTAAGAAACATGCATGACATTCAGTTTCTCACTGACTTCATTTTTCAGAAGCGGAGCTCAGAATTCGGTGACAACTAAACCCTTCACCGTCTCCACTGGCCACACGACAACTGAAAGAAACAGCACCGACAGAAAAACGAAAAGGTTAGCGAATTTTGTGTTTGAAACGCTCGAAAATAATTCGATAAAAGAACACCTGCGAAATTGTTTTGACTGAACTTGTAAAGAGCATTCTACTCTTGTTTCTATGACTCCAGTTCTTCGGAGCTTTCGAAACATGATGAAAAACGTGCCAACACGAAATTCAGCTCTCTCAATAAATCTTGTATACGAATTTGCAAAAGCAGCTTCGTTTTCTAAGTACTAGGCTTGACAAATTTTCGCTGTGAATAAGTAAAACTATCGAAAATTTTCAAAATATATTCAGTTTTTCAGAAAAAAAAACAACCGAGAGCAACTTCTCGATTGGACTTTCGTCTAATGGATATAAAGAGGGAGAAATGCGACGAAAATATCGAGTCCAAGGAGCCAGGAGACAAAAATGTTAATTTTTTATTTTTATGTTCTCTTTACTTCATTTTTTGTCATTTTTATTAATTTTCAATAAATTTGTACTGGTAAACACTATTTTCAGTTCACAGAGAATATTAGGACCTGGGGGAGGGGAGGAATTGCTGGGCGGCGGCGTGGATCCTATATGCTTTAGTCGGCGCGTGGATCCTATATGCTCGCATAACGCGCCCCTATATGTTTCGTATTGCGAGCATATACTGCACCGCGCGATCCCATATAACGTTCCTCGCGATCCACCTGTGAATATCCTACATTCGCGCATCAACTACCCTACACATCCCCTACAGTTGTGCAGCAATGTCGCAACAGATGTGCAGTCTACTAACATCTCTGTTATAGTACGATTAGTCTAAATAAATAGTTGTGATCAAAATGATGCATTTATCTATAAATCCGGACATGAATATTTTTCACGGAATCCGGAACCCGGACATCTCTATTCATTACCAACCAAATCGCAACACACAACTTCACATAATTATCTCCTCCGAATTTGTTCTTTCATCATAAAAATTTCGTACTCCCAACCTCGTAATCAGAATTGAACGCTAGTTGTTATTATTCAATTTCTTTTGGACTTATTGAGTTGTTATTGTGTAGTGCCTTCTGACCAAGTTTCATAGCGAACGCTTTCAAGGCCGATAATCGATATTTTCTGATAATTTTGGAAGATTTATGAATTGAAATAATATTCCGATTTTTAGAGAGGTGTCCGTGGGAAAAAAATAGTCGGAAGAAAAACAGGGCGGAGCTTTTGCATGGTGCGGTTACATTGTCCCCGCCCCGTCTTTCTTGTAATATTTTTCCCAGAGACAATTTCATAACTTCTAGTATTCATTTTTCTATTGCTGCAGAAAATCAGAAACCTTCTCACTCCGATCTTTCCCATTTATACATTGTTTTGTTATACAATTTTAATAATTCATTGTCACACGCAAACATACTAGCTTAAGACCTGTTCTCTGTATAATTCTGAGTCCTGTTTCGAATATGATGCATCGGATATTGACCTATTTACAAGACAAAATGCATTTATGACCATTATTTTCGAATCTTTTCGTTTTCCAGATGAGACATGTGGTTGTTTATTGATTTCCCAGAAGCGCAACACACTCCTTCGACAATATTTTTGGTGCGAGTGCGCGCGCGGGAAAACAGCGTGCCAGGCATTGCAGAAACCGCATGCGGCAGTTGCGTTTCTGGACTCCTCCCACACTCGTTCATTTGAATTTCGCGCGCAGTCAATCGCCATTTCAGATTAATAACTTTCGAAAGCTTTCCGGATATAGTTTTTGTGCCGTTTTGGATCCATTGTATCTTCGCTCTGTATTTCTGAAAATATTGCAGACAGTGACTGCAGCCATTATAGTTGTTATCCTTTATCAAAAGTAGCAAATCCCAGTTTCTATTTAGTTTTTGAAATGTGCCCCGTTTTTGCTATTTCTCCGTTTGCTGTGTATCGATTTTCTGTCTCCACCTCGTGACACGAATTTCTTCTCGCAAAACGTATGTTGACTCACTTTGAATTTCTTACAGATCAGAAATGGGCGATAAACGCGTCGTCCTGAACAAGGATATATTTTTTCAAAGAGCCGAACGACTATACGAGCTCTGGGTAAGTGAATTTTCGTAAAAGATATTCAGCTTATTAGATATTTTCAGGAAACCGGACAAGTCGGTCTCGACTCGGTCAATTCCATTGCTGTTGCCTACGGAGACAGTGAAAATCCGTACACAAAGTCGAGCGCACTTCACGTGAGATATTTAGAGAAGTTTTCTTATCCTAATCTAAATTTTGCAGTCCTGGCTTTTCGGTCATGAAATCAACGACACAGCTCTCCTGTTCCTCAAAGACCACATCTATATTCTTGGAAGTAACCGCAAAGTTGAGTTCTTCGGAACAGTAACTGGCGTTCAATATAACGGGAGAGTTCCACCAGTTAGCACACTTCTTCGAGATAAGTCGGACAAAGATGCGGGAAATTTCGAAAAGCTGATTGACTATATCAAACGTGCTGAAGGAGATCTGGGATCTTTCGTCAAAGAAAAGTTCAACTCGGATTTCGTAAACGCTTGGAATGATGCACTCAAAGCCGATGACATAAACAAAACTGACGTTTCTCTTGCCTTCATGCATTTGTTTGCAGTAAAAGACGATAAAGAGTTGGAACTTGTTCGCAAGTCAGCTCAAGTCACAACCACTTCCTGGACTGCAGCTAGACAACGTTATGTCGAAATTATCGATTCGGAAAGGGTATGAACTGGATTTCCATTTGTTCCTTTAGTCTCATTTTCTTTTCTCAGCGAGTTCGTCACTCTGTCTTGTCATCTGAGTTCAGCGCATACATGAAAGATCCCAAAATTCAACAATCATTGGCTAAGTACAACGCGGACACATGCTACGATCCAATTGTTATGTCAGGCGGAAACTACTCATTCAAGTGGAATCATGATAATTCTGAAGCTCATCTTCACAACCAGTTCGGTTCAATCATCACCTCGTTCGGAGCTAGACTTTCGGATTATTGTACCAACTTGACTCGTACAATGCTCATTTTCCCGTCGGCTGAGTTGGAAGCAGCGTATGAAGCTATTCTTGCTGCGGAATTTGCAGTTATTGCTGCTCTCAAACCTGGTGTCAAGCTGAAGGATGTTTACAAAATCGGTGTTGACACGCTCACCGAAAAGAATCCAAAACTTGCCGAAACGCTTAACAAGAAGGAGCTAGGATTCGCAACTGGCATCGAATTCCGGGAGAGTCGACTTTCCATCAATGCCAAATGTGAAGAGGTTGTTAAGGAAGGGATGGTTTTCATTGTCTATATTGGAGTTGATAGCATTCCAAATAAGAACAAAGGAGAGAAAGGAAAACCTGCAGCCATCGCTATTTCGGACACAATTCTAGTTAAAGCAGAGGGCGACAATGAAGTACTTACTGAGAAGGCCAAGTCCCGCCTGAAGTCGAATGTTATCAAGTTCAAGGAAGAGCAGGAGAACAGAGAAACTGAAAGAGATACCGATCAAAAGAAACTGCTCGGTAGAGGACAACGGAGTGTGGTTCTCAATGACCAAACGAGAAATAAAACAACCAACGAAGACCTTCGTAAAGAACGTCAGAAAGAGCTGGGAAAGCAGCTTAATTTGAACGCAAAAGCTCGTCTCTCAAAGCAAGATGGAGGGACCGACGAGAAGAAAGTCAAAAAGTCCAATGTGTCTTACAAGAATGAAGAGAGATTCCCACAGGACACAGATGTTCAGAAAATGCTGATTTTCGTAGACCGAAAGTACGACTCGGTTATTGTGCCGATCTTTGGAATCCCAGTTCCATTCCACATCTCTATGATAAAAAATTGCTCTCAATCCGTGGAAGGAGATTTTACATATCTCCGAATCAACTTCGCCACTCCAGGATCTCAAGTTGGAAAAGACAACGCACAATTCCCGCACCCACTTGCCCATTTCATGAAAGAACTCACCTTCCGCGCTAGCAATATCAAAGAACATCACAGTGATGCTACGCCACCGAGCAGTAATCTCAGCACAGCTTTCCGTCAGATCAAAGAAATGCAGAAACGTTTCCGCACGGAGGAAGCTGAAGAGCGTGAGAAGGATGGTGCTGTTAAACAAGACAAGCTCATTTTGAGCCAAAACAAGCTAAATCCAAAATTGAAAGATTTGCTCATCCGTCCAAACATCATCCAGAAGCGGATCACTGGATCACTTGAAGCTCACACTAATGGTTTCAGGTTAGATTGCAGAATTTTGACATTGATGACACAAAATCAAATTTTACAGATACACTTCTCTTCGAGGAGATCGTATTGATGTGCTTTATAATAATATCAAGCATGCGTTCTTCCAACCGTGTGATAATGAGATGATCATTCTCCTTCATTTCCATCTCAAGAATCCGGTCATGTGGGGAAAGAAAAAGTACAAAGATGTTCAGTTCTACACCGAAGTCGGAGAGATCACGACAGATCTTGGAAAGTATCACCATATGCAAGATCGTGATGATATGCACAGTGAACAACAAGAACGAGAACTTCGTCGTCGTCTGAATACCACTTTCAACAGTTTCTGTGAGAAAGTGTCCCGTCTGACCAATGATCAGTTTGAATTCGATTCCCCATTTGCTGGGCTTGGCTTTTTCGGAGTTCCCTTCCGTTCAGCGACTACTCTCAAGCCGACAGCTTCGTGCTTGGTTAATCTCACCGAATGGGTATGACATTTCAGAGAAACTGTGACTTCAATCGCCTTTTTTCAGCCACCATTCATCGTCACTCTTTCCGAAGTGGAGCTTGTTCACTTCGAACGTGTTTCGTTGCAACTCAAGAATTTCGATATGGTTTTTATTTTCAAAGATTACAAAATGAAGACCCAAATGGTTGCTCAAATTCCGATGAGCAGTATCGACAAGATTAAAGAGTGGCTCCACACTTGTGACATTTGGTACAGCGAAGGAATTCAGTCTCTCAATTGGGCCAAGGTTATGAAGACTATCACTGACGATCCTGAAGACTTCTTCGAGAACGGTGGATGGACCTTCCTCGACGCTGAATCAGAGGGTGAAGACGCAGGCGACGATTCTGATGAATCCGATGCTTATGACCCAGAAGAAGCAGATGCATCCGATGGTGGTTCAAGCAGTGCTAGCGATGAAGATGAAAGCGAGGGCGAAGAAACTGAATCTGACGATGACGAGGAAGGTTCGTTGGATTCTGATGAATCCGAAGGCAAGGACTGGTCGGATCTCGAAGAAGAAGCAGCGAAGGCGGACAAGAGACGTGAAGTTGAAGACGGAGGACGCGATCGTGATCGTGATCGCGATCGCAAAAGACCGAGCTCGAGCAAGGCAGGACCATCGCACAAACGCAGAAAGTAAAAAAAATCTGCATCATACATTTTGTAAATGATAGGAATTTACTACCCATCCCCATCAACATTTGTGAAAGAATTCACATATTGAAAGAATTCACATATAACTATCTTCCTTCAATCTCAATGTCCCTTTTTCACCAATCGTGGGATACATTCTTTGTTCCCATTAATTTTAATCTGTTGTTTTTACCCCTCACCCCGATCTACATTTTTCTCAATCAATGCACACCTAGCTTGACTTTTATACCGTTTATTTTGATACCAATTGAAAGAGTATTGTGGAATGAAGTTCGATGAACTAAAACATATTTGATTTGTTTTTCGGTCGGATCTGGTTGACTTATTTCATGATTTTGCTTCGGAGGAAGGGAAAACCGCACTCCGGGAGCATCGTAGATAGTGAACATAGAAGCGGGACTGATTTAAGAAGGGAGGATCATGGATGTACGGAATGGCATAAATTCCGAGTTTCAAAATTAAATTTTTAAAGTAGAAATTCCACTTTTTCATCGCAAAATCGCAAGAAATTGACAAGCAGATTTCGAAAAAGCAAAAGAAAATTTAAATATTTCGCTCGAAACCCAATTTTTGGAGTTCTGAACATCCCTGGAGAAGATGTGCCTGAAAAAAACTTCTGAGGAATTTTCCATTTGCTATCATTCGAAAGGTTTGGAAGCAACATGGTTCTTTCGTTACACTATAAAGTCAAGTTCTTCAGCCACTCTGTCATATGCTCTTCTCGAAAACTTGTTTTCCTACCCATCTATCATAAGGCTCTCGGGCGGTTGCTACGGGTTACCGATATTTTCCCACTAAGGTATTCGTGTTTCTATGTGCATTTCCATTTATGTATGAGCCGAGATATTCGTGCTCAAAGAAGCAACCAAAAATCCATTCAAATTTCAAAGTTATATTTTTATCACCTTTTTCCTCTCCCCCATGGCATGATCTGGAACGGCAGAAGTTCCTAACTTCCATCAGATTTAATGGTATTTCCCAGTCACCGGAAAACCTAGTTATTTAGCTCTCCGAAATTTCATAATAAACATTTTCTCAAGACAAAATTTTGTAGGTCTGTGTTCATTGCGTTATATATCCCCAATATATTTATCGTGACTTTATCAATAGCACGAGAAGCCTTAATGAGATTTGAGAAAAATTGGCTCAAAACTGACGATTAAAGTGGAAATCTATTAAGGATTATGTCTTGCTAGATCACTTCTCTTTGCTTTATATAGTTCTTTGACTGAAGGACAATTCGGTTCTATAATCACCGTCGCATGCATTTTTACCCTCTTTCATTTCTGGCGCCTCCAGTTTCAACTCGCTCTTTGCCCGTTGTCCATCTGCTCCCCTGCGCCTCCATATCTGCAACATACTCTCTACGTCTCCTCGTCCGACTAGTGTATCACGCTCCAAAGCTTCGAATATTTTAATTTTGGCTCTTCAACTAGAAACTCGTCCTTTGTAGATTATTTTATTGCTTTTTTCGTCTTTCATATAGCCTCTATAAGGGTCCAAATTCCATATCAAAAATCGCTCTAATTCAGTCTAAACAGCATAAAGTATGTGCTTGAACCATCACCAATAAAAATCTTTCCAGGAGCATTGAATCAAATGGAGGTAGAACATCAAAGACCACCAGACGATGCTGGTGACGGAGGCGACTCAGCAAATCAGCCGTCAACTTCAGCAAGTGCAGATCCGAATCCAGTTGATCCGGTTGCAGATTCCGCTGCCAACGATAACGATGACCACCGTATGTTTCTTTCTGGGGGGAAGCTTGCTTAACATATTTAATTTAAGTCATGTGTCGAGTATGCCGGGGAGACGAAGGAAGTCTCTATTATCCTTGTTTATGTACTGGAAGTATTAAATATGTTCATCAGGAATGTCTAGTAGAGTGGCTGAAATATAGGTGAGTGATTTGTGTTTTCGAGACTTTGAGTAATTAAAAATTTTTCAGCAAGAAAGAAGTATGTGAACTATGTAATCACAAATATTCTTTTCAACCGATATATCGACCGGATATGCCAAAAGCTCTTCCGATATTTGAAATACTACGTGGAGTAATCACTTCTGGAGCAATGATGATCAAAACATGGTTCGTGTATACTTTTGTGATGGCTACATGGCTGGGGCTTGTTCCACTGACTGCTGCTCGTATTTATAATTGTATATTCTATTTATCATTCCATGACATTGTGAATGCTCCATTCCAACTTTTCAAGACGGATAATGTGGTTCCTGACATTCTTAAAGGAACTATTCTTCTCATTGTTTTTGTCTGCACATTTATCTCACTCGTTTGGCTTCGAGAACAAATCATTGTTGGAGGACCACAACATTTTTTGAACTTTGAAAACGACGAAGATGGAGCGGACGAGAACGGTGATGAGGATGATGAAGATGAAGAGGATGAAGAAGATGATTCTGACAACGATGGAGTCGAAGGCGACGATGGGGATAACGAAGACGATGAAGAGGATGATGACGACGACGACGAAGATGACGATGATGATAACGATGATGTTGCAAATGAGAATGAAAACGATCAATATAATAACATCGGGAATCAGCCGAATGTCAACCGTAATGAGGTAGGACGAGTAGACGGAGAAGCAGAAGACGATGGCGAGACGAGTGGATCATCATCAGATGGTGTTCCAGAGATTTTTGAAGAGATCAGTGATGGACCTCCTGAAAGAGTATTGTACATTGATAATGACGAGTTTTTGAATCATCGAGAGGCTGTGGCGCGAGCTCATTCAGGAGCATTGGCTTATGAAGAACGCAGGAGGGATATTTATGAAGCAAGACACGGATTCAGACCCAGAATGGTGATTATTAACTAGTCGTTCTATTTTTTTTTCCAATTTCAGCCTGACATCAATCTATACGATGATATGAGAGACGACGAAAATGAAATTGTTGAGAATGAACCGAACGAAGAACCCCCAGTGGAGGATCCTCCTCAATTGCTTGAAGAAGCCGCTCCTATTCTGCCACGACAACCACTACGGGCTCGTCTGAGAAGGAATCGGCGTCAGAGGCAGAACGTAAATAATGATCCAGATCAAGCTGCAGCTGGAGGAGATCAGGATGATAACTGGAGAGAGTGGGATAGATTTGGAGATGAACTCACTTGGCAAAGATTGCTTGGTCTTGACGGATCGTTAATATTTCTAGAGCATGTCTTTTGGGTCATCTCACTGAACACTCTATTTACGGTCACGTTCGGTAAGGCTTATAGATAGAAAATTAATAAATACTTACCTTTTCCAGCCTACGTTCCATATCGATTCGGTAGCTGGATGCTTGCTACAGTCGGTTTATATTCGAAAATCACCTATTTCCCATCGATAGTTTCCATGATTTTTGGGTACATTCAAGTTGCTGTTGTTACATTCATTGCTCATCAGTTGATGCGGATCCTAAAAATGAAGTTGATGTATCGATTCCTTGGAGTTATGTTCCTGATTATCAAAGTTTTCTTGCTGGTGTTCCTGGAGATTGGCTTCTTCCCAGTAATGTGTGGATGTTGGATGGATGTATGTACACTTCCTCTGTTCAATGTAACCCTTTCTCAACGAGTTGCTACGTTTGCGAGTGCTCCATTCATGTCGATATTTCTACATTGGATGGTTGGAATGGTATACGTGTTTTACTCGGCTTCCTTTGTTATATTGCTCCGAGAAATTCTTCGCCCTGGGGTACTTTGGTTTATGAGAAATCTCAATGACCCCGATTTCAATCCAATCCAGGAAATGATCGATCTACCATTCACTCGCCATTTCCGACGGCTCGTGGTGTCGACGACGTTGTTTTTCTCAACAATCATGCTTATTTTCTACATCCCTCTGAACGTCATCAATGTTATCCTACCGACACTTTTGCCATACAATGTTTCAATGAGTGCGGAAACTCCGTTGTCCGAAATTTCACTCGAGTTGCTGATACTTCAAGTTGTGATGCCTGCGATATTGGAACATGCGAATGGGAGAGGTTTCATCAAGTACGGTGTCAGACTTTGGTGTAAAGTGATTGGTACGGCATTGGATTTGGATCAGTACTTGCTCTCCGATAACAATAACAACAACAATCAAAACAACAATAATGATAATCGACCAGAAAATGTACTAGGAAACGCAGGTGCAGCAGGAGGTGCTGGTGCTGGAGCCGGTGTCGGAGGAGGTCTTGCTGCTGAACATCAAGCATTACTTCTACTACGCGAGCCACGTGCCTATGAACCATACAATCGCCCATCCCTCTTTGCTGTTCGTATTGCAATTCTTCTGGTTTTAATGTCGGCTACAACTACTCTCTGCAGTGTCGTCGTTTTCATTATCCCAGTATCGATTGGTCGATATTTCATTTATATTGTAACCGGCCAAGGGAATGTCCATGATATGTACACAGTTTCATTGGGACTCTACGCTGCCTGGCTTGTCGGGAAGTTCGGAGCAATAGCCATAAAGTTCATTCGCGGAGGTCCTCATTTGTTCAAGAGAGCAGTGATCCATTACTCATATTTGGTTAGTTATACCAATAATTGTATCGAATCAATATCTTATTCAGGGAATTCGTTTGATGCTTGTTGCCATTCCAATCGTCTTCGTGCTGCCATTTTTAATGGGTACATATTTCCAACTTGTCTTTTTCGCTCCTATGCGGCTTGGCTACCAACAAGTACACGCCCTGAACGTTGCACCTTTCTCTAATCAAACATATTTCAGAGTGCTCTCATGTTCCCATACCAAGACTGGGCAATGGGTGTCGTTCAAATGAAAATCTTCGCGGTTGTAGCAGTGATGGGACCTGATTGGTGGCTCAAGACCGAACTTGATCTTTTGGTGCAACGTGGCATCGAGAATTTTGCAGCACTTCATGTTTTCGTTAGAATTGTTGTTCCATGCATTCTTTATTTATCAACTTTCATTGCGTTCCCAGTGTTGGTTGTGAAAACATATGCGTTGATTTCAGGTTTGTTCTGATTTAGTTTAAAAAAAAAACAAAAATTTGTTTCAGGAGCCGACCCTGAATGGACTATGCTTCTGCTACGATTCTCGTATCCAGCTTTCTTATTTATAACATCCGCTGTAGTATTCATCAAATGGCAGATTGCAAAGTTTGCCGAGTTGGCGGAGAAAATCAAAAATGACCGGTACCTGGTTGGCACTCAACTAGTCAACTACGAGAAAAACGGAGTTCGAGCCACTCAGTCCTGATATTTTTTCTCTTCCTTCTTGCTTATCTTCTCAAAAACAATCGTCCGGTTGGCTCAAAATATTCATTTCTCCCAGAATCGTTCCGTGGAATTTCGGTGTTTTTCTTTCTCATGATTGTGCGGTTTCTGATTTGTTCACTGTCTGAATCAGAGAGTAAGCAGGTCACCAGAACCTTTTTGATACTTGTCCCTGTTCTTTGCGCTAGTGATCATTTCCACATCTTTCCTGATTTTTCCTTCATAAATATCTGTTTTGTAAACTTTATTATATATCCACTTCTTGGTTTCATTAAATCTTTATTTTCAATTTACTATTGGGGTCACATTCTAAACAAGGAAGAGATACAACATAAGACACTTGAGGAAATCACACGTGAACGTTCTTCTAGTTTTTATTTAGCTTTACTGATTTCATGGATCAGGATTCGTGGGAGTGTACCACATTAGTTTTTGGAAACCAATCGATAGTTTGTCTGTCCAGAAAAAAATGGCCATTGGAATTTCTGTCTTCATCGGCATCTCTACTGCTTTTTCGTTGATCTTCGGATGCGGAAGAAAGAAGAAGAAGGCTCCAGCTGGAGCAGCAAAGGTTGCGGGTTTTTGTATCTTCTGATTCTCTAAAAACCGATTTTAGCCGTTGTCAGCACCTCCAGTGCCTTTTCCAGTACCTCCAAAGGCTGGCAGTAAAATGAAGGCGCCAGAGGAAAAGGAAAAGTCAAAGAAGAGTGAAAAGAAGGAGGAGGCGAAAAAAGAAGAAGAGAAGAAAGAAAAATCGAAGAAGAGTGAAAAAAAAGGAAGAGAAGAAGGAAGAGAAGAAGGAAGAGAAGAAGGAGGAAAAAAAGGAAGATGAGAAGAAAGATGAGAAGAAAAGTGATATGAAGGATGAGGATAAAAAAGATGAAGAGAAGAAGGATGACAAGGAGAAAAAGGAAGAAAAGAAGGAGGATGAGAAAGAGAAAGAAGATGAAAAGAAGGATGAGAAGAAGGATGAAAAGGAAGAGGATAAGAAGGAAGAGAAGAAAGAAGAAAAGAAGGATGACAAGGAGAAAAAGGAAGAAAAGAAGGACCAGGAAAAGAAGGAGGAGAAAAAGGAGGAAGAGAAGAAAGAAGAGAAGAAAGAGGAGGAAAAGAAGGAGGAGAAGAAAGAAGAACCGAAGGCTGGCATCTATTATAAATTTCAGTCACCATTGAACCAAATACCGATTTGGCTTTCCAAGCTGATCAACAGGAACAGAAGAAGATTACTCTCACGAATACTCATGACAAAAAAATCATGTTCAAAATCAAGACATCCGACAATGTCGCTTATCTGTAAGCAATTTTCTCCAGATTTAGATTACAACATTTTTTGTTTAGTGTTAATCCAGTATTCGGAACAATTGAGGCTGGAAAAACAGCTGAAGTCACAATTACTCGTAACAAAGCTCCAGCAAAAGAAGCGAAACTCGTTATTGTGAACAGTGTGGTAAGAAAACTTTTAGGACGTGAGTTTGATTCTAAAAGGGTATTATTTTCAGTTCTCCGGAGATGATAAGGATTTGGCCAAATCATTCAAAACTGGAAAACCAACAGGTGGACAGGTTACAATCAAGATGAACGCCAAGTGATATGAGAACCTACAGTACTTGAATAAATGTTTTTTTCAATGTGATTCGAGTTTAATTGTGCATTGTTTTTTCTATACACAGCAGAGTTGTCAGGAAGTGAAATTTCGGAACTCGGAATTCGGAAGTCGGAAGTACATTTTTATTTTCGGAAGTCGGAAGCAAATTTTTCAACTCGGAAGTCGGAAGTGAAAAACGCCCGGAAGTAAGAAGCCGGAATTAGGAAGTCGGAATTAAATTTTTAAAAATTGACCTTTATGTTAGCCTACGGTTATTTCGGACCATAATTTACGTTATTCGCGGTAGTTTCGGGAATTCGGAAGTAAAGGGCGTTTTTCGGAAATGGGAAGTCGGAAGTAGGAAGTAAATATTGTTTCTCAGAAGTCGGAAGTAAAAATGTCTGGAATGACTTTTTAGAGAAACGAAATTTGGAGAACGGAATCCGGAATTAAATAATTGTCTCGGAAACCGGAATTCTTCATCCCTGAAAATAAAATTTTCTCAGAATCTGGAATGAAAAATGTACGGAATCCGGAATTCGGAATAGAACAATTTTTTCGGAATCCGGAATTCGGATTTTGGAATGTACAAATTTTCTCAAATTCCGGATAGTGAAATCCAGACAAAACTATAATTCACGGAATCATCTCTGACGTATACCAATGCGTTGAAATTTACCAATCTATTGCAACGGCGAATGTCATTAACCCGTGAATTTTTTTTGAGTTTTTCATTTAAATCGTATTTGCAACATGCACTTTCTACGAATTTCATTTATTTTACGTTTCAAAAAAGTTAAGACAGACACTAACTGATCGTGTGATCATATCGAAAGAAATGGCTACGATTTGTGAACTTGTCCAGTTGCCAGTTGGAAGTGAATGTGGAAAATGGACAGTTTTGAAAAAACTTGGAGAAGGGGCATTTGGTGCTGTTTACTTGGTGAATCAAAAAGGAAAACCAGAAGTGGAATATGCGTTGAAAGTCGAAGCCGAGTCTGATCCTTTGGGTCTTTTGAAAATGGAAGTTGCTGTGCTTTTGGAGGTGAAAAAACAAAAAATCACTGGTCGCCATTTTTTGGAACTTGCTGATCGGGGAAATCTGCCTGGAAAGTTCTACTATATGGTAATGACGTTGGTTGGAAAAAGTTTGCAGGTTTACAATAAATGGATTCAAGGAAAATAAAATCGTAATATTTCAGGATCTTCGTAAAACTGCTCCATTCAACAAATTCTCAATGGGAACTGCCATTTCTGTGGCCAGACAATCGTTGGAGGCTGTTGAAGATTTGCATAGCATCGGATTCTTGCATCGAGACATCAAACCAGGAAACTATACTATCGGACGTAAAGAGATGCACGAACTAAGAAAAGTACTCGTTTTTTCAGAATTCTTTTTCAGTTTTTGGCTGTATTTAGGTGTACATGCTTGACTTTGGAATGGCTCGTAAATTTGCCCGCGAAGACGGAACACTTCGTAATCCACGTGCTCGTGCAGGCTTCCGTGGAACTGTCAAATATGCACCATTGGCATGTCACATTCAACGTGAGCAATGTCGCAAAGATGACATAGAAAGTTGGCTGTATATGGTCGTTGAAATGACATCTGGACGTCTTCCATGGCGTAATCTGACTGAATCAGATGACGTCGGAGTGTTCAAGAAGGAATGCAAAACGACTCGTCAGAGGTGTCTGTTCGGAGGATGTCCTCGTGAATACATGGAGGTTTTTCCAATTCTGGATAAGGGAAAATTTTTCGATGCTCCCGAGTACAAATCAATCTACGATCTTCTGAACAAGGCAATGGAGAATACTAAAGCGAATGAGTTTCCTTATGATTGGGAGTAATTGTCTTCAATAAATATTTCATTCTTTATATTGTTTATGAACAATGAATATGGAAAAAAATTCATTTGACTTCTTCTGATTTCACCCGTATTGAAAAGTTTGGACTAGTGTTTAGGCAACAATGAAACATTGAAAATGTCAAAATATACACATAAACTGAAAGAAAAATTCCAGTGGTGGGAAACTATTTAGAATTACGGTGATCCTTAGAGACTTCTGACACGTATCCACCATCAGATTGACTGGATCCACTAAGCGGTCGATGAGATTCTTTTGAAAATATTGTTCTTGCTTTTTTGATATTTTTGATAAGGTGTTGTTTCAGCTGTGATTGGCAGCATTCGATGTTGTACACTGTATTTGGATTAGCTGAAATTTTAAAAAGTTAATTTTTTTTTCAAAGTTGAAAAAAAAGACTCACAATGACTCAATTGTCCATTTGGCCCTTCAAACGCTGCATGGTATAGCTTGAGATTCACAGAATCATTTGGCATTTCGTTGATATCAATTTCATTGATTGGAAGCACTCGAGTCCATTTCATCTGGAATTTTGAAGAATGTTTGATTAAGTAATAAGAACTCAAAAATTCGAGAGGTTAACCTTTATTTCTTTTCTTGCATAAGAAGGCAACAGAAGAATGAGAGAATGGAAAACGAAAACGACGTAGTGCTCAGCAGGAGCATCTCTCCATTTGATATGAGCAAAAACGAGAAGTTCGCGAGTGTCCAATCGGAGTCCCTGGAAAAATTTAAATAATGGAGTGTTAGACATCTGGATACTTGAATCCTGGAATTTTCAAAGTTTCCAAATTTTGAAACTTTCGGGAATCTCAATTTTCGAATTTCTCAAAAACGAGTTCTCTAACAATAAGTTTCTGATTTACAAACTGAATTTCTCAAAATCTTTTAAGTTTTTATTTTTATTTTTTAAATTTTCTAGTTTCCGAATATTCAAATTCCCAGAATTGAAAATTACTGAATTTGAAAATCTTCGAATTTCAGAATATTTAAATTTTGGAATTTGAAAGTTTTCAAACTTTCGTGTTTCGGAAATTTTGATTTTCGAATTTCCAAATTTTGGAACTTCGGAATTTTCGAACTTGATAACTTTGCATTTATTTTCGGATTGTTTTGAATCACAGTTTCATAAGTTATATTTTTCAAACTTGTCAAATCTAATTCTTTTACAATATTCACCTTTTCAGTCAACATATTCTCATTCGCCTTCCTTACAGTCTCCATATACTGCGCGTAATCTTCATTAAGACGTTGCATTTCATTCACATATTCTGCTGATGTCTGCATCTTCTGTAACGCTGTCTCCACTTGAATCCTTTCTCTCGCATCTTTCGGAAGTGCATCGGAAATGTTTTTCAGAAGGAGAGGGTACTGAACAATTCTTTGAACAGGCTTGATCATCCGCGACTCCCATGAGCAATGCTGTTCCCGAGTGCTGTTCACTGCTTCCAATTTTGATAATAACTCTTTTTTATTTTTAATTTCATGCTGAAGAAGATGATATCCGGCCGCATATTCAGCGTAGATTTTGAAATCTGCACACTTGTTGATGAAGACAGCACACACTCTCATTACAGAATCCTGCAGACAAAAATTTGAGGTTTTTAAGATTGATGTAAGTACTCACTCTTATCTGAGCTACCGAAATATCCTGCCGACTCATATCTCCGATTGCTTCTTCTATACTATCCAAAAACGAAGTCTGCATTTTATACAATCGAATAGCCGCATGCATGATATCCCTAACTTGTCTCATGCACAGGAACACTTCATTCATCTGAAATTTATCCTTATTCTGAAGATCATTTTTCTCTTCTCTAACCTCTCTCAAATCAGCGACATATTTCTTTTCAGTGACCAATAATTCTTGCAAAGCCATTGCCAGCTTTGCACAGCCCGTTTTCTTATTGACATTTGTTGCGTCGAGTTGAGTAGGAGCCTGAACGAACGGAACGGATTAAAGAGAAATGCTGTAAATTGAAAAGAATAGTAAGCCGAAAATTCAATTTTCCAAGAAAACTTACTTTGAGTGGTAATGGTGTCTTTCGTCGAAGATGGATAACTTTTCCGATTCTTAATAGCTTTTCGACATCTGATGCATTTCGAACAGATGAAATCAGTTCACTATCAACAGCAATCACTGAATCTCCCACTTGAGCACATCGTGGAGCAAATGAAGTGACTCCACGCACCTAGAAACCGAAATTCATCTTTCAGCCCCCCGACAAAAACTCCCATACCTCAGCCCTGATGACCCCATCATCGTTGTGAGCGTAAATAGTGAGTCCAAGTCTGCCATTTGTCTTTCTGACAAAATAATCTTCACCGGGAGAAGTGCCAGTCAACTCCTTTTTCTGCTCTGCCATTTCCCGTTTCCTCTGTTCTGAAGCTTCGACCAATGAACATCCAGGAGAACCTTCACATAGTCTTGGTTTTTGCGGATTCTAAAGTGGTTCAATTCTTTGAGAACAGAGAGATTCGAAGAACATACCGTCGAATGAAATGTAGTTGTACCGTTGTGAGTTGTTACATGATCAGTTGAATGAATTTGTTGTTGAGGTTGTTGTTGGAGTGATTGAGCCGGATAAGAGTTCATTGGATTCACATTTTGACTTTGAATTTGAATTGGAATCTGATGATACTGTTGATTTGGGACAGTTGTTGAGGAGGTGTTCATCATGTTCGTATCTCGAATCTCCATTGGTTTTCGCCATCTAAAAATTTGTAGTTTCCGCCTCTTTTTTCTTCACGATTTTCTAATTTAGTGAAAACTGCTAACTTTAGTGCTGGAAATCAACACCTTTCTTCATACGGTATTCATCTAATGATAATTATCTAACGTATCACTTTTTGTTCGAAATGACGACCTATTTTTTGTTGATTCTAGTGTTAATTAAGAATTTACAGTAAAACCTGTAATAGGTACCCTTATTTTTTTTGCTCGAAAGCTTTCTCAAATTTAGTGAAATTGATAAATTTTGAACAAGAATTCGTCGAATTTTTGTGAAAATTTCGGAAAAATTGGCCGGAAAAATAGAAGAGGCCCTGTAATAGAAGGGACCTCCAACTTTAAAACAATAGGAGCCTTTCTAATACAGTATTTACGATAAGTAGAAAGTTCTTTTTTTTTCCAAAATCATGAGAAACCAAAAAAAAACTCACATTCGAAAAGAATTCATATTGAAGTGATAGAGAAACAAAGAAGCCAGCCGACAGTTGTCAAGTAGTTTTTGATCAATTTGAGGTGATATATCGTGTTGAATAAGCTGAAAAATAAATTGGAACATTTGAAAAGTTGGGTTGCTGTTTGGGAGCACCGAAAGGTGCTAATCTTGTTGTTTCGGGTAGAAAGGACAAAAAGAACAGAGAAAGAGAGCAAAAAAGAAGAAAAAATGCGGAATGAAAACAAAAAAAAAGAGAAAGGAAGTGAGGAACTAGTGAGGATCCGGTGGAAAATGAGAAAGGGAAATGCAGAAATGCACAAAAGTAGTAGCTGAAAGTTATCTTCCTTTTTGGAGGAATACATTTGTTGACGAGATATGTTTCTGTCGGCATGTCGGTTTTTGAATGAAATTTTTTTAGAATCGAGAAGACAAGAAAGTTTTCTAGGAGAATATTCTGAATTCGGTAAAAGTAAGGAGTGCAGGGTACCTTGAATAGAACCACACCTATAACATTCAAATTTGAGCCAATTTTTCTCGGTTCCTATAAAATATATCAAAAAGAGGTCAACTGATAAAATACTTATGATATTATGATAAACGTTTTGTTAGCTGACAACTTCTTGATATGTGTTACACGAAATGAGATATAAAAGCTCAAAGTTGGTGGTTTTGATGGCACTCTATTAGAGTGTTTACGATATTCACAATTTTTCTATGAAAGAAAAATCAAGATGCTAGCAGATTGGTCCTTGATTTTAGAATAAAAAAATGCTTGAAGAAAAGATGTGTTGAATATAATTTTTTTTAGTTATGAAGAGGGCAAAAAAGAAGCTTGATTGGAAGGAAAGATTTGTCGGATTGGCAGAAACGGAGAAATAGAAAAAGAGAGAGAGAGAGAGAGAGAGAGAGAGAGAGAGAGAGAGAGAGACGGTACTCGAGAAATCCGGTCAACTATTCATTTTCATTCGTCGTATTTTGCACTTGACGCCCTCCTTCTACTCCTCCATGCTTCTTCTTCTTCTTCTTCACCTATAGTATACAAATGTTACATTCGCACATTCATATCTGTGTGAGGAGGAGAGAGATGCAACAACATTTGTAAAATTGGAACGTGTTAAGTAAACAGATCAGCACGTACAACAGAAGAAAGTCGGGAGAAGAGAAAGGGGTACTTGACCACACGTTATGAAGATTTTGGAACTGTACACGTGAACTGGTTCTGGAGATTTATGAGTGAGAGACTGGGAATCTGGGTTATCAACTGAGCAAATGAATGATCACAATGTTTTCTGGTTGGATGCTTTCTCATTTGAGATGGACACAAGTCTTCTTTGCACTAATCTCATGTGAAACAAGATAGAGAGCCTAATCGAGAAAAAGAACGCCTCATCGAACCGAAAGTTTTGTATCATGAGCTAAAACGTGACTTCCAGGTTCTGGACGGTTATATACTATTCTGGCACAAAAAACTCGGAGCTGTGGAAGAGAAACCCCGGTGTCCGTTGTTGAAAGTCCCACTTCGAAAACTACCGTACCCTAAACATATTTTTATTATCCGAATTTAACATGCCGACTATCCTGTTTTTTTGTTTTTAATATTTTTCGCTTACAGTAGTTGTCGTTGTGAGACCTTCGAAACTAAACTCTAACTTGAATCGTTCTTTATGAGTTTAAGTGATAATCCAGTTTCTATCAAACGGACAAAACGGTTAAAACTAATTCACAAGTTCGAGAGATAGAGAGAGAATGGTTTCAATATTTGCGTATGTGCTTCTGTTTGTTCAAATCGTATCTTCTTTTTCTTCAGTAAAAAGGTCACTTTGCCTCTTTTCGAGTTTGAAATTTTTTGGCAATCGTAAAATTGCAAATATCAGGAACTGATAACAAAAAAAGAACACACCTTACAAGATGGAAAGGCTGTATACTTTTTGTATGAATAAAAAACCTGCCTACAGTAAGTAGTACACTTGACAACGGAAGAAATAGCGGAAGATGTCAGAAAAAAAACGACCGTAAAAAGACAGAAAAGCTTCTCGAATTAGTGAAGTACTTGACCGAATAAAAAAGGAAAAATCTAAACTTCAATTCATCAATCAATCTCGTCGCCAGTCAATTAAAACCAGCGACCGAAAGGTAAAATTGGAGAAAAGAAAAGTTTTGGTAAAGGTTTTAGAAAGAAAGATGAAAGGAAAGCGCCTTGTTTGTTCGAGAAGAGAATGAAAGGAGGAGCAGTAGAAGAAGAAGAAGAAAAAAAGAGAAGAAGAAGAAGAAGAAGAAAAAAAAGGCAGAAGAGAGCAACAAAAAGTAGTAGTAGTAAGGGGGCAGAAGAAAGGTTCTTCTCGATTTTATTATGAACACTTTCTAAAGGAACCTTTCTTCTTTTTCTGAAAAAAAGAATTCCACAGAAGATGTTTTTTACATTCCGAATCGGAATTCCCAATTGAAGAGAAATTCGAGCGGAGAAAGAGGAGAAAAAACATGCGGAGGATCGTGTTACAGTACCCATTTGGAACTAATTGGGGTTGAGGATTCAATTGATTTGAATAGAAAAATAATACAAAAAACCAGACGAACCTCTATTCCAGGTAATGGTCTCTGTTGCAACGAATTCAATCTTTGCGTAACGACAACATTCTTCAGAAGAAGCATCTGTCGAATGTCTTCCTTAGAAGCAGTATCACTTGATTCTGATGACTCCAGAAGAGCAATCAATTTTTGTTGAATCTTCTCATTCTGTCGTGCCAAATAATTCACTGCTACCAAATGAGATGTAGTCCTAGCCAATAGAAGAGATGATACATTCAGCGCTTGGATCAGAAATAAATGTGCATGAGCTGAGACGATAACTCGGAAAATGTTATTTGCATGGGAAATGTCTACACAGTTTTCTGCTTCTGAAGAACAGGCAAAGCATTCCAGCTGAAATTAAACAAGCGTTGAAATTTCAAAAACCATATTCAACTAACCAAATCAATTGTGACTGGTGATCCTTTGTAGTTGAAAACCATACTCAGCGGGTTCAATGAGATCTAAATAGTATTTTTTTAAATTCAATTCAAACTCAATTTCCTTACATTTGATGTTTCTGGCTGCTCATCACATGGTTGAATTGAGTCTTCTTCAAACGTGGCAATTCTGGATACAGAGGCCGAAAATGAGTGTTGAAACATATTGAATGCGGATGTGTTCGTGGACTGAAACTCAATTGGAATTCTAGAATAATTCAGCATTTTCTAGGTTCTGCAGATGTCCATCTGATGTCCATCACCTACTGATAAACTCCCCTTTGTCATAAATGAGAGTTGGCAATCAAGCTTATCAGTTGATTTAGAGAAATGCGTACAAAATCATATGGGTGTTTTATTGCCTTGTTTTGAGAATTGGACTCTCTTTTACTGATTATTGAAACTTGAAAATTCTATTGCGCCCCATTATAAGTGTGTTATTTGTGCATCGACCAATAGGAAAACAAATATTCTCTTAAATTTCGAAAAAATTAATGAGGTTATTAGAAAATTCTAATTGAGGAAAATGTATCAAATCTCTCATGAACGGAGTTTGAATATTTCCAAATAGCAATGGAAAACCAAGAAATTTCTATAAACAAAAATGTACAAAATTTTTTCAAAATTTCATAACCAAACATTTTTTAGAATTTCGGGAATTCAAGTATTCTATATTTCAGAACTTTAAAAATTGCTCATTTCGAACTTCTAAAATTCCTCGAATTCATACTTTTTCTTATCAAGAAATTCGAAAATTTTAAAATCAAGATACATAGAAATGTTGAAAATTAGAAAATTTAGAATTTCAGAATTCTAGAAAATTTGAAATTTCGGTAATCCTGGTATTCAGATGTTGAGAAATCTTGGGAAGTTGGGAAATTTGGAAAAAAAATACTCAGAAATTTTAAGGACTCAGAAACTTGGAAATTCTGAAATTAAAAATTGAAGTGTAGGATACAGTAGGTAATAGACTGTTACAAAACATTAATTTTTCTAAAAGAAAATGTGTCAAATCACTCATGGATCGAGTTTGTACATTTCCAAATTAAAAAAAACCAAACCTGTGAAATAAGCAGTGAAGTGTCTTTGAAACTTAGTGTATTGAATCCAATTGTTCTTCCGTCAGCATTGAGATAAACGAAGAAGTCACTGACCTTATGAATCTTTTCTCCTGAAAAAAAAAACGAAAAAATCAATAGAGATCTCATATATAAGACATAAAAAGTAGAGACGAAAATGCATGTCGAATGTCGCCATGCGACTGGAAACAAATGGGCACTACTTCATCGGGAGCAAAGCGAAAAAAGAAGGGGATCAGAGAGAAAAAAGGAAAGGAAATGGAGAAAAGAGAGCCCCCGTCAATTATTATGAAAAGTTTCTTCCATTTTTTTAGTTTTCTATTTCGTTCATAATAATGATATCTGGGTTATTTGTTTGATGAGCACTTTAGGATCTATTGGTGGGGGTGGTGGTTTTTATCATTAAATAATATCACGTCTGAGACGGCGGCGGATGATAGAAAGTAGGAGAAATAGAATGAAGAGAAAGAGAATGCAATTTGTGGTTTATGACTGCGAATAGCTGGAAAACCAGTCATTTGTTTGAATTTGTTATTCTATGTACTTTGTGTGGGCGGATGGGGTCACTACCGTGAAACCTGTAATAGAAGGGCCCCTGAGCTGTTTTTTCTCGGTTTCTATACAAGATATCAAAAATGCGTCAACTGATGAAACACCCTTCTATTACTGGTTTTACGGAATTTTAGGAAAAAAATTTCTTCCAAAACATTGGAATTGGCTTTGCTCGTCAAAAAACTCAAAAACAAAAACGTTTGCTGCTTCGAATAATGCAATTCTTGACCAAGTCACACACCTATTTTATTCCACCACACCTATGAATTTTTGAGTTAAAACTCAGTCTCTTTCGGTGTCTTTCAAATGAGATTTTTGCAATAGATACAACTGGAAACGTACAGAAAAATTGGTTGTGTCGGTGTATAAAGAAAAGGAAAAGGAAAACACCCACCCATTGGAATCAAAGTATCCAGAAGAACTTGGCCGGATGAAGATGTTGCCAGAAGACGTGGCTGAGAATCATCGAAAGCGTTGAATACACGCACCTGGAAAGAGAAAAACGCTGCGATGAAAGAGAAACGAGGGGGAAGTAAAATACATAGTTTATGACTTTTGGATTATGGAATGCTTTTCAGGTATTCCGAAGAAAATGTACATGTTTAAAATTCGGGGAGATATACGTACGTTTGCCAAACGGCCATCCAATTTTTCCCACTTCTGTCCGTCTTGTGACAATTCAAACAGCTCTGCGTCGATTCTGAAATAAATGAGAGGGTTTTCGGGAAAAAAATTGACAGAATTAAGTGTAGCTAATCAAGTTTTCAGTGTATTCATGTCCATTCTTACCCATTCTGAATCACTTTTGAAATGTTTCAAATGTAAGGGTTTTGTATTGATCTTAACCAATATCAAATTTTCTAAATTTCATCAGTCACGAGTAAACAGAGAAATAGTGTTGTGTGAAATGGGACAAGTCAAGTGCTTTCGATTAGCTATATATCATCAAAAGACATATTCAAACAAATAATCACTAGATATATTCGAAAGTGTCTTTTTGAAAGTTCTGAACACTTCTTCTGGCGCCCTTGACAGTTGAATGGTACTCCATAATCGAGAGAAAGTGGGAAGTCATCTGTTAATTGCTTCGTTTTTTGTACTTTTCAAATTCTGTTCATATATGCCCCTCGAGGAGTTGAACTTGCGGACCTAACGCTTGAGGTGCCGCACAGCTAACGGCTGAGCAACGGAGCTAAAAAGTAGCACGACAGCATCAAACTTAAAGTGAGACGTGAACTTTTTTGTCTGAAAAATGCCAACTGACTCTGATTAATAGTCAACTGAAGACGTGAGCCATAAATTCAGAAGTCAATGGAAGAACGAAAAGAGTTCAAGGAGCCAACTATCGTTAAAAATGTTGATTTGGTGGGTTCCTTTGATGTTCAGAGATTGTCATGACCTAAATTATTAAGAATGATGGATATGGATTCACATGGAACGAATCAATTTTTTGGCAAGAATCAAATCAACAGGCAAAGTTAGATATCATTCAAATCCCTACCCGTATTATATGGGGACTTTCAGATTTGTATGAAATTGATAGTTCTCTCTATTTGTGTTCTCGCTTGTTGCATTTTATTTTTCTTCGAAGCAGTTGCAGTTTCTATCACTACTCGTGAGTTGGTTTTACGCTTCCAGTACTCAAGCTCTTTTAAAGTTTTCAGCTATCCATACATTGGAAGAGATGAAAAAAGTGGAAGATGAAGAAGCAAAAATGCACTTGAAATCTTTTATTCTTCTCCTTTGGTCTTTTGCAGTCTACACCCTCATTACGTTCGTTTTTTCATAAATTTAAGAAGACTCAAAAACAATTTTCAGAGAAATGATGACTATTATGACTCTCAACGACAAAATCCGAATTCTAGAATCTATAAGATATCGTTCGAAAATGGAAGCAACACTGTCGTTGATTCGTCAGAAATCATATTTTGACGCAGATGCCGTTGATTTCATTCTTGAAAACGAGGCGACTTATAAAGTGGACGCAGTGAGTGATGAGATGGAAGTCAAGGAAATGGTTTTTCATCGAGTACATGGAATGAATCCTCATAAATCTTTCTTCTATTCTGATTGTTAATTTCCTATAAACTTTTCGCTCATTTTTTGGTTTGGATTACCGTAGCTCTTGATATGAATATTATTAGGGGGTATTATACTTGTACAAAAAATCGGACCTCTGGAAAAGACTCGCCGGGGCCGAAGGTCCCACAACGACATCTACCGTAATCTAGAAGATGTGTATGTTTTATGTCACATTATTATTTTTTCAAATGATAAGCTTGGCTGAACTAGATCCCCAGGATGCTCACTCACTAACACATTTTGAACCGGTTTTTCCCACTTTAGTACCATATTTATAGCTATATGAGAAGCATAGAGCAATGAGAAAGAACATACAAAATTGATTAGTGTGATAATGTAGCTTTGGTTTACATGTTTTCAAGACACTGATCTTCAGTTCAGAAGCCACAACCGTAATCCGACGAAAAAATTATTCAGAACCAGCCTGCTTGCCGCGCCTCCGGCGCTTCAAACATCTTGCTGGTGCGCCTTCAGCGCAATTTAACCTATTTGTTTTCAAAGGGTCATGTCAATCTACATTTTATTTTCACGTTTTTCATAAACTTTTGTTTTCTTATTCACGTTACGCAATAAAGCATTAAATCAATTAATATAAGGGTATGCCCTCTTCATCTGTTCACGTTGAAAAAATATTCCACATATTGAAAAAAAACGCTGGTTCTTGTGAAATGGTACTCTTTGAACTTTATTGTTGGATAGTTTTCACAAGCCCTTCTCTCTGGTAAGCTCTTTGCATACGCTTCTTCTTTTCGGTTCATTTTCATTTTTCTTTCGATTGGTAGAATGCGAAAAAAGTACTAGAAGGCACTAAGGGTCGCCATGTTCTGGGGTTCATGGATAGGTAGAATCATTTCCACTGAACGTTCCAATTTTGCAAAAGATTCAATCAAAGATCAAAAGAAATGAACAAATATCAATAAAAAGTGTATGCAAGGCTTCTTACAAGGAAAAAGGAACTTTGGAAATTATCCAACAGTGGTCCTCGGAGACCAGGGCGGGGGACCCTTTCATGTACTGAGGCTCTAGGTGGCGAAAGGGATCAACAGACGAAACGTCTGACTAATCAGTACACTATTGCTACTTTTTTCCCCAATTTTTTTTAAATGGTGTTTTTTCAGTTGATTCTGACAATTTTCAGTACTCCGGAGCTCGGCTGTCAAATTTGAAGATTTCGAGTTTTTCAGCTATGTGCCGATTTCTGAAAGGCCCCATTTTCGACCAGTTTTTACTGAGAATTTGAAAAGACAGGCTTTTTCAGAAATCAGCAAATAGCTGAAAAACTAGGAATTCTCAAAAAAAATTATATGGATGCAAAGTTTTCACTCTAAACCTGTTAAAATCCTTCAAAATTTTCAAATTGATTGAAAACTTCACAGCCAACCTCCAGACTCCTGAAAACGGTCTGAGTGGCCGAAAATCAACTGAAAATATGTTTTTGTAAACCTTAATGACCGGTACTGCAGGTTTGGATACTCTAGATAGAAACCCCGTACATTTTTACAGCTGTCTGGTGCGTTTTCTCTCCTTTTCTCTCCCACAGTGTAAACTAATTATCTCGATTCCTCTCAATTATATCAATCCCTGTGCAATATATCAAAAATGTGGAAACTGAAAATTTGCTTGAATGTGTTATAGAGGTAAAATTCATTTTTCAGTAACAATCTCAAATATTGGAAAGGAGGTGCTCATTTTAGGAACTATAGCACTTCCTCTGTTTAAGAGTTTTTAAACTACAGTGAACAACAAAAACTACAATACCCTTTGAGTTTTTTATTGTTCTCATGTTCCAAAAATTTCCTTATATCTACAATTTACTGGTCATCTTCTCGTTCCCAAACATTCATTCTCTCGTTTTGGCTTTTTCTTCGAAAAGTGTCTCATTGACGAAAATTAATGACATATCTCGCCCCGCTTCTTCTCCTCTCATCCATTTTTTGTTCTTTTCCTTCTATGACCAATATACTATTTGTAATTCGAAACACCCTCTTTGCCCATTTTTGTTTCAAAACGGGCTGGTATAATGTGATGATGATGTGTCAGTTTTTGAGAAGGAACGTAAATAATAATAAAAACCATACTTGTAAAATTCCGGGCCGGCCCGCCAAAGCCCGGGCCCGGTCCGGGCCGGGCCGGGCCTGAGGAAATTTTTAAGGCCCGGGCCCGGCCCGGAAGGCCCGGTGTCAAAAATTCTGTATTTTTGAGCCAAATTTTGAGCTCTCAATATAATTGTTTCCTTTTTTTTTCGTATTTCGGATTGTTTCTCTGTCTGATCAAAAAAGATCGAAAAACTCGAAAAAAATTTTTTGGTCGAAAAAAATCACATAAGGGTCCCGACTTATGTGTTTTTTTTTGAAAATTTCGAAACTAGTGCATTGACGGGCCCGCCGGGCCGGGCCTCCGAAATTCCGGAAAAAGCCCGGCCCGGCCCGTTACAAGTATGATAAAAACCAAAAAAATCTCTTTTGGGAGTTGACTACTAGATTTGTGTTGAACGGGAAAAGAAAACACAAACCTCAGTGTGGATTCATCATTCGTCCAGCACTCTGCTTGTGAGCACGAACAAGTGAGACGTGCTCCCATTCTATGCAACGATTTGGAATATCAGAATCGACGCCAGCAAGATGGATCGGCTGAAAATAACAAGATAGAGGATTGGGGTGGTGGAAAACAATCAGGAAAAAGAATTCCAGAAAACGAAACAAAGGTGTTTTCAAACAAGTTTAGCTTCAATGATGTAACCCAAATTTCAGAAAGGTAATGGAAATTCCTAATTAGACCTCAAGGAGTTGTAGCTTCAAAAAAATCAGTTGGTTAGGAAAGCGAAACATGTAAATAATCCAAAAAGACTAACGAATAATTTCAAACCTATTTATTAACCTAAAATTGTATACTCTTCAGATATTGTCAAATTTGAAATTCTAATCTAGTAAATTCAGTCTCTCATAAAATTTTCAATTCTACCATCTCTCCATAATTCTGGCTCTCTCTCACTCAAAAACACCAAACACTAAATTATGCTTTCGCGCCAAAAATTTCGCGGATAGGCTTCTTCTTCTTCAATGTGCCACCCTCTTGCTTCCTCTTCGTCTTCACACCAAAAATGAAAAATGAGTCCATTTTTGGATGTTTCTTGCCTTGTCTTTCAGGGAAATAAGTCCTTCACAAGATGACACTTAATTTGTGACTGAACAAAAGAGACGGGTTTGAAAGTGTATTTCTTTACATCTGAAAATAGGATTCAAAACAGAGGAGAAAAGGGACGGAAGAAGAAGAAGAAGAAGTGGATTGGCAAATGAAAACAATGGGGGCTATTCGTGTGTTCGACATAACTATTATGATGGCCAACCGATGGATTGGATGGGGTGTGGCAGAAAAGAAATGAGGAAAAGGAGGAAGTCATCTGTATGCAAATTACGTGGATTCATCCCTTCTTTTTCTATTCTTCGTCTCAGGGTGTCAAAAAACGAAAAACTCTTTTTTCGGTATTCTAAACTCTAAACACGTTCGAAGGTTCAATTATGTGATGATTCAACCAGAAAATTTGGAATTGGGGATTCTGAAAATTTTTCAGTGTTTCAAATGTGCAATTATTTGCGATTTTTTCAGAGTTTCGTGAAGAAAGTTCAAAGTAGCTGAAAATTGTCTAAAAATCGAAGAAATTTTTTTCACAAAAATCCGACATCGGAAAAAAACGCATCAGGCAATTAAAATTTTTGGAAAACCTATCGTAAACACTCCAATACCCGAACCGTCAACTTTATTCTCATATATCTCCTTTTCTGTAGGAGGTATCAAAAAGTGATCATCTGACAAAATGTTTTTGATATGTTGACCACTTTTTACATCTCTTACAGGAACCGAGATGTACGGGCTCGAAGTTGGCAGTTTTGTGGCCTTCTATTAGAGTGTTTACGGTAGATGAAACTCGTCAAAAAATAAAAAATTAAGAGTCAGAAAATAATTGCGAAAAATATATGCACCTTTCAGGTTTCCTCTACCTGGCTTAAGCTCCGCCCACCCTCAGATTTTCAGCTGCAACGCACATTGAATTTAGACTGGATTAATATACACGTTTTGATAAAATTCGTGGAAATTTAGGTCATAAATATTTTTGTAACTTGATTCCATTTCTAACGCAAAGTACATGTGACCATCAAAAAAACGCTTAAACTGTTCCTCACCGTCCTTTTCTTTTCTTCCGACTAGCTGACACTGAATCATCAGAATATAACGTCGTATTGCTTTTTCTTATTATTTTTTGTGATGCCTGAAAAAACTTAGTTGTTTTGTTTCTTATTACTATCTGAAAAAAGTAGAAGCACTGATGTGGAAAAAAGGGAGAAAAATATTAAGAAAAGTGGATGGATAATGAGAAATATGAAAACAAATAGAAGTGGAGGAGCAGAAAACAGAAGAAAAAAGAGATTTAGAAGTATCGTTGAATTCCTCCATTCACTTATTTACGGAAGTATATATTTCATAGGAGCTATCATTAACAGGACCTTTCGATTAGGATTAAAAGTGAAAAAAAGATGAAGAGCAGCAGCGAGAAAGTAGGAGGAGCAACAACAACAGCAAAAAAAGAACATTTGTCCCGATGGGAATTGCTCTGAACTGGAGGAGGAAAAATTCAAAGAATTGGTAGGAGGGGAATGGGGGTGAAATCTGGTGAGTTTTATATGTGAGTAGAGCATAAAAAATAGGGTTAGAAATGAAGAGAAAAAAGAAATGGAGGTGCAGGAAAACAGGGGAACACAGACGAAAAAATGTGTCTGAAGAAGTTCGAGCTCATTGAGACGGGGAAAAGAGTCGAGAAAGCGTTCAACACATAATTACGGAAAAAGTGACGTTGATTTTAAAAGTTGTGTGAATGCTCTGAGGATTCATGTCATCCGGGCTGTCATGTATGAAAACTTTAAAAAATGGAGTTCTTGTATGTTGCAGAAATAAGGTTGATCAATTTCGAAATCTCAATACGTATTTCCTCTAATTGAAGCCCATGGGCTTCTATTTTTCAACCTCATTCTCAACAAATTACCAAAAACTGAAATCACTGGAATATTTTTTTTAAAGAAAGACAATTTCGGCAATAACCGAGTGAATGAACTGCACTGTACGAACTGCACTAACTGAACTGCACGGATTTCTGTCAGAAGTTGCGTTTCTATGTTTTTAAGCACGTCGGAGGGTGGGCTTCTATTAGAGGTGGGCTTCTTAGAAGAAATACGATTCTTCAATTTCAGACCGCCGTGACCCGTCATTTTGAGGATATCGCAAAACCTGTGATAGTAGGACCACGAACAAGTTTGAACCAAATATCTCAATTCCTGTGCAAGAAATCAAAAATGTGTTTACTGGTAAAACATATACGATGTTATGATAAACAATTTATCAGTTGCAAACTTCGGCTCTTTATGACAAGGGGAGGGGGGGGGCCCAAGTCAAAAGGGGGGCCCATAGGCAAAATGTGGACTAAGTTAAGATTTATCAATTTTTTCTAGTTTTTCGAATGTTTCTATAAAAATTTAGTACTTTGCGCTTGTTTCCACAAAAATTTGTAACTTCAAAAAATTTCAGTTTAGGCCGGTTTTTTGTATGAACAACACTATTTTTTCTATTGTAACTGTGTAATTTGAAGTTATTCAGCTAGTTTCAGATTATCCCAGGCTTAGTAACAAAAAAATAGACAAAAAATATGCAAAAATGACATAAACTGAAATTTTCAAAAAATTATGAAAAGTGTTCAAAGTTCGAAATTTTAATGGAAACGGTCACAAAACTAGAAAAAATTGGTAAATCTTAACTTAGTCCACATTTTTACCTATGCCCCCCCCCCTTTTGACTTCCTTAACAGCATCCGAGAAAAGTTGACTTAAAGTTAACAGTTAGAGGGTTCAAAAACGCTAATAAGAAAGTCGAGGTCTTCAGTTTTACAGTCATGGTTGAAACTATCAGTACCATTTTATCACGTTTCATGTCTGTCCTAACCGAAATCATCTTTCCATCGCCTAGATATGTCAACTCATAAATCTCCCACGTGCATTTTTTAGACCACCCGGGCGACGATCAAATGGCAGTCGAATTGCCGGTGGTGTAATTGACAAGATAATGGGACAAGCAGAAGAAGAAGAAGGAGAGGGAGAGAAGAATTCAGAAGAGATGGAGATTATTAGCAGTGATGCAGAAGATGGAGAAAAAAAATGAAAGAAGGAAAAAGTTTTTTCGGGAAGGAAAGATATTCTTCCGAGATACGCGAACAGAAATTGGGGAAGAAATGAATGACACAAACTTGTTGGAAAAGAGGCGAAAGAAGAGACGATTCGGAAATCTCGGACGGCATTTTACTATTATATTTTGACGGTTTGAGGATCTTAAAAAATGACGAATGCAATTTTTAATTATCAGAAAACACCGGGTAGTGTAAAGATTGGGTAGAATGATTGGGTAGAACTAAAGCTTTCCAAATTTCAAAAGTCATTGACAGCTAGTTTCAAATTTTTCGGACTCTCAAAAACAATTTTATGAATCTCCTGGCCAGACGAAGATTAAAAAAAATCGTTTCTTGCTCGAAGAAACTTTATTTTTCGAAAATTCTGCTATCGCAATAAATGAGCCGGATCTTTTCTATTTGGCTCATGCACTCTCGAAGCATCGATGATGCATCTAGGTTCGTAAACTCATGGCCTATTCCACTTCTCAATATCCCAAAAAAAACAACATAAATCTTATCAGTTCCTCCAATTTTGTTTTCCACCCTATCTCTCACTTTTTGTTATGTTGTTTTCATTTTCGGCAGACAAAAAAGGGCCCTTGAGTTGTGTTGAATGATGAAGACGGCCTTCTCCATAAAATGCCCTTTTCTTCTTCTTTTTTTCTTGTAGAACCATCTCCATTTGAAAGGGGTGCATTTTTGATTTAGTGGCCACGGAGGTCGAGAAAAAGAAAAAGTAGAAGAAGGGGCACTTAGAAAAACGGGAGCACAAGAAGAAGAAGAAGAAGAAGAAGAAAGAAATCGTATATGTTTTGGAAGGGATAGGAACTAGTAAGCTATAAAGTGAAAGCTTTTTGTGCTTCGATATATGCGTGGGAAACAAAGTGTGAAAAATGGAAAAACCCGAGAGTGGACAAGGAGTATTTAGAATTGAAGTTTTGAAGTTTTGAAATCAATGATCTTCTAATAGAAGGGTCATTCTATTAAAGGGGGCCCTTCTAATACAGGTTTGAGGTATTTTAAAAGGGGACTTCAACCGAAAATTTTTTGAAATTTTTTTGCATTGAAATGTTCCAAAAGTTATGTACTTTCTTGTTATTATTTTCGAAAAAATTCAGGAAAAAATCAAAATTTCAGAAAACCTTATTTTTGAAAACATTGAAAAACTCGAAAAGCAAAAAAGTGTTTTCACTGATTTCGATTTTTTCTGAATTTTCGCAAAGTACAGCTGGAATTATTGAGATCCATTTTTCACCAAAAAACTGCATTCAAAAAGAAACAACCGCATTAAATCATTAAATCCCGAAATCTCACTGCAAAAAGCTATTCCTCGTTGATTTCTCGCTGCCACTCTCTGAGAATTGGGGTTTCCTTTTATTAAGCATGCATAGAAATTGCTCATTTTGACATGAACCTTATTTTCTCCTTCGACTCTCTCTCAAGAATACGTAACATTTCGGAATTCTGGGGCTACACTCACACCCAAACTCTTTTACATTTCTACCTAATTTCGGTGAGAATATACAAACCAAAAACGAAACACAAAAGGAAGAGCAGGAAAAAAACATGGTTATATGCATACATTTTTGGGAAAACGAAAAGAAAAACGGAAGAGAATTTGTTGTGTGTGTTTTGTGTGATATAAGGAAATAAATTTTGAAAACGAAAGAATAAAGAAATGCCCCCGTGGAAGAAGTGGAAGTAGGAGTGAAGTAAAAGAACATTTGGAAAGAGAGGACTTCGAAGGATATATCCTATTTGGGTGAATACAGATTAATGAAGTGCTTTGGAGCAGAAGAAGAAGAAGAACGCGAGAAGATATAGACTTCCCATCTTGGAATTCAGATGGCGAAAAAGAAGAACTGAGTTCAAAAGTGATAGGATTACTGTAGACCAGACCAAAATTTGTTTCTTCTTCTAGTAGATTTCAGTTTTGGGAACAACTCGAATGTTGCAAAACCCAGAAAAACGACCACTCAACTAGAGCCTGCCTTTCTTCAAACTGGCCTTCTGTCATACATAAATCCGGTCACGCATATCGACGAAATAGTGTTTCGATTCGAGAGACGCAGAACAACAACTAGAAGGACCTGAAGGTCCCGAAAACAGCACGACCATTGAAATGTGTGTTGAATAAGTCATTATATTTGAATTGTTTATAAGTTGAGTACATGTTTAACAAAGTGAAGCCAAATGGAAATCGAATGTTTTCGAGTGGATTCACATCACTTCTAGAATTTTGCCTGTTTAGCCTTATTTTAGTTTTTTTTTTTGAAAAAAAAAGTCTTGCTCGGGATTTCGTACATACAGTAAGATAAAAAATGAATTGTGTAGCTCTATGCTCTGACATAGCTCTCCGTCTTTTCTGGAATTATATATCAGTCTCTCTCACTTCGAATGTAATTATCTCAGCTGCCAGAAGAAATATCAACAACCTTTTAACAAACAAAATCTTTATTATAATATCATCAATACTTTTGTAGTTTACAGATTTCGGATATCTCTCGCAGAAACAAGATAATTTAGGTCAAAGTGGAAGTATACGGTGATTTGGTCCCTTCTTCTAGTAGGTTCTTTCAGATAAAATACGATATGCAGCTCTTATCTTCATGTGAACTCTCGCTGATAGATCTCGCAGATTTTTGCCCAAAAAGTGACTCCATTCGCAGCGAGCGAATGGTCCGCCGACAAGCCGTCAACGGCCCGCCCGCATCGCCAAGGCAGCGATTAGACGGTGTTCACCCGTCCGAGCCTCTTTAGCCGGCATCTAGTCAGTTCAGCTTTGTCTTTAAAATTCAACAATTTTTTAGAGCGTAGGAAGAAACAAAAAAATTTAAAAAATTAAAATCGGGAACACACAAATTTATTTATTACATTCTCGACTATAGGATCCGAAGGTTCAACTTTCAATCAGTTTACTTGTACATCGAGTTCTCCGCCTTCTTTTCATCTCCTTCCAACATTGTGTTACTCTTTTTCGGGCCCAAAGAAACCGGACTGTAAAAACAAAGGATTCTGAAAACTCCATCTGAAATGCAACTTACGCAGCTCCTTCAGCATCATCGACATATTTGCTTGCAATAGCTTCTTTCTCCTGAGCATCAGTTGGTTTGGTTTCCGGAGTAGTTGGTGTGGATGGAGTGGTTTTCGGAGAATGCATATCTCTTGCGGTATGCATATCATCATCCTCAACCTTTCCTGGAGATTGGTTTGGACTTGGAGTGACTGGTGGTCTGGAAAAATGGAAATTATTTGTTAAAATCTGAATTTGCTTCTGTACTTCTGCTCAGACTCCTTCTTCTCTGTCTCCTTCTTCTTTTCGCGTTTCGATCCTTCCTTCTTCTTCTCTCTTTTTGATCCACCTCGGCTGCTATTATCCTTATCCTTATCTGCAGGCTTCTGCGACTGCTCGGCAGAGATCTTCTTGTCTCGTTGAGATCCTCCAGCTGGATCTTTGGATCCAGGTGGTTTGGTTGGTGGTGCTCCACCGGGTGGAGCAGACGCGGATTGACCGATTGGCTTCTTCTTATCTCTCTTGCTACCATCCTTCTTTCCTCTCTTCGATCTTTGAGACTTCTCCTTCTTTCCCTTCTTTCCACGTCTTGACGAATTGCCATTCTTCTTGCGAGCATTGGCACGATCCGCAGTATGACATCCGATGAGCGTCAGACTTACACATGTGCATACGGCTACGGTAACCGCTGAAAAAAGATGAACGATACATAAGGAAGACAAATCGGGATCCACAAACCGCAAGCCGATTGGAGCAGCTCAACATCCATATTGAGTGTGAGAGGAAGTGAGTTTTTTGGGTTCTCTTGGATGGGCAATGAATACGAAAACTGAAGAGATTTGGGAGGCTCTCAGAACACTGTCTAGGGGTAATGTAAAGGATATAGGGGGTCACGGGATGTTTAAAATTAGTTCACGATGTAACAGAGGTACACGCAAAAACTATTAACTCGAAACCTTTTTTTCAGAATATCAGTTACAGTATTCTCTGCTACAGTAATCTTAATATTTCATTAGAGCTAAAATCATTCAGTTTCTAATTTTCATTTATTCTAATGTAATGAAATAACGAGAACATCAAGAGAAAACTGAAATAATTTTTTTCTGATGCTCCTGATGTTGCTGTCGAATCATTAATTTTCTCCACATCTCTGAAAATTTTTAAACAATTAATTTGAGTTTAGAACAGATACGAACAGTGAACAAATCCCAGTATATCGACAGATATCATCAGCATAAAAGGCCACACTTGCAATGTAGTCTAATTCATTCCTAGTTGATACTTCACACGTGACCCCTAAAACTCATATCTTCAGATTTTAATAGGTCTTTATTTTCAGATACCTTGATAAATTACTCCAAATACAGTAACCCGATCATTCATTATACGAACGACTCCTCCACCACTATCTCCCTAAAACTAACAAAAGTCTTATATCAGTTTTCCAATGAATCACTATCCATGCAAGCCAACTGATTTCTCGAAATCGACCTAGTACAAAATGCTTTTTCAGTCGTCGAAAAACATTTTTCAGCTTTTACGGTTTCGTATTTCAAGCGACCAATCGAATCGTTTGCAGAAGATACTAAAAATTAAAAAAAAATCGAATTCTCTTGAAGCATTTCATATCTTACCATCCAACCCATAACCATAAAGCCTCATTCGAACATCAGGATTGAATAGGTCTATGCCCTTTTCAGCCGTACAAATCGGACGAATACTCGACGAGAGCTCTAAATTTTCAGATAACTCCACAATGGCAAAATCATCAAAATCGAGTTGTTTGTCATCGCAAACTTTTGGGAGGAAAAACTGGAAATTTAGGGTCTTTTTGATCGAACTCACTATTTATAACATACTTTGGAAATTTCAGAAGAATATACTCTTGATTCATGGCAACGCTGTCTATATCCACAAGCTGTTCCAGCATACAATTTAAACATTTTCGAGAAATCTCTATTCAACACAAGATCTTTTTCGGCACTAAAAATCACACATTTTTCCGACATCTCGAAAATCCAGAAATTCAAAAATTACTGAGTTTTAGGAACTCGCGAAGGTTTCCATCTCTCAATTCCCAAATTTCCAGAATTTTTGAAATTTCAGAAAGATATTTATAGAGTTAGCGAATTTGAGAATCTTCAGATACAGAAATTGGAATTCACGATGAATTTTGGACTTTCAAAATCCCAGTTTTCGAATTTCTGCAACTTTTAAATTTCTTGAATTTTAAAATTTCAAATACCGGGCTCGAGACTTTTTAAACTTCTGAACTTTAAAATTTCTGAATTTGAAGAATTTGAGAATTAGAGTTTGATATTTGAGAAAATGAGATATATTGGATCAAAAATTTTTTCATTAGATTAACAAGCTTGGGCCAGGAGGTTTAGATCCAATGGGGCGTAAACCGATTGGTTGCTATTTACTCTATTAGAACCTATTCTTTACATGAAATTTGTTTCTAATGTATTATTTCATTTACTCACGATTCTCGGAAAGTATTCAAAATATGATACCGTAAACACTGTAATAGAGTGCCATCCAAACTGTCAACCTTAGGCCCATATATCTCATTTCCTGTGGAAGATATCGGAAAGTGGTCAACTAATAAAATTTTGATCAGAACATCAAAAATAGTTTGTCAATTGACTACTTTTTGATACCTTTTGCAGCGAATGAGATATCTGGGCTCAAAGTTTGGGTGGCACTCTATTACAGTGTTTACGGTATCTTCATGCGCGGCACTTACTCTTTCTCGAATCCTTGAATTTTAGTTTCATTCGTTGTCCAAACATATCCATCATCTTTCAAGAGTGCAAAACAATGTCGTGCAGTGATGACATGACGAGAAGAAATCAATGTTCCAGTACATAATCCAGATTCTTTTTCATTCATCACTTCAATTGCAACGTTCCATGGGGCATCCGTTATTCTCGACTTCACACCATTTAGAATCTTTCTTCCATAACCGTTTTTCACTAATTATAAAAACTTCATCAGATTAACTTTTTTCTGCCAGTGATGGGAGGAATTTCCGGTTTTCTTTTTCAGAAAGACGTGCCTCCTCCTATCACTGTTCTCAAATAACATACATTTCAGACCTTTACCACATGTTTCTTTTCTCAATTTGTTTTCCGAATCTGTTAATTTTTGCGTTGATTGAAGTGGTATCAGGAAGAAGAAGAACAAAACCGAGATCCACTTGATGAGCATTGTCATCAAAAATTATATTTTCTGTAATCTATCACGCTGAGAGGATCTTTTTGTTATACAGCTCAACTTTATTTAGTGAAGGGGAAGCGATCTGAAATACGCGGATTTGAGATGAATAAAACAAATAAATATGGGAGAAAAATTAAATAATTGTGAATTTGGGGGATAACTGGAATACAATAGAGAAATTAGAGAGTGGTATTAGCGACAAGGGCAACTCCACGCTGGTAGAAAACGGTGGCAGATGACAAATGGAACGCGAGTGGAGAAATGAGTTGACGACGATCTCCATACAAATATAATGGAAGACGTGTTCCTTCAGCAGCATCCTGAAAATTTTTTTTACATGAACGTTCACATGTAACAGTGTTCCTACCTGCTTCCAACTAAGCTCCACCACATCGCACTCGCTCTTGACAAGTTCGCACAGTTCGAGCTTGTTTCCTCCGATAGATTTGGCTCCTCGGATGTCGACGCCAGAAATACGGAAGACGTCCGTGTTGTCTGTGCGTCCAATGTGTATGTGCAAGTTCAGCTGTTCCAGTGACCAGGTGTTGGCTTGAGCAACTTGTTGACGAGTAGCAGTGATATATGCTTCTGGTGAGAATGTACCTCCAAGCCAGAAAGTTTCGCGCTGAAAATAAATAGAATCTACACTGAGAGCATCAAATTTTCGCCAACCTTCAAGTTATCAGCTGCTCCAATGCGCATTAGCTGCTTAAGACGTTCATTCAAATCAGCCATCCAGTCCATCACGGTGACTTCTCTTGGAACAGTGTATCTTTTCCATCCATTCGGAACCTCTCCCTTCTGCAAACTGGCAGCCAAAGCTCGTGTCTCATTGTTTTGTTTCTTCTCGGCACGACAAACAGCAGCAATCTCGTTCAAATCACGACGAATATCTTTAAGCAACTGAGATCCCAAGTTAACTTCTCTTTCGAAGAATCTGAACAAAGGATCCTTGATGTTTTCAACGGTACGGCGCATCTTGACGATCTCCTTTGGAAGCAATTGAAGCCATTGTTTCACAAGTTCTCCAAGCTGTGCCATCCATTGTGGTTTAGCTTCCTCCTTGCCGTCTTCACCGCATGCCAACTCTTCATCTGTCACCTTCAGCATATTTCGGATCATTGATTCTCCTCTCTTGGTCAAGAGAACTTTTTCAGCATTATTTGGAAGACCAAGCCAAGCTGGGAGTTGTTCGTTCTTCAATTCTTCAACCCATCCGATCATTTGATCCTTCTTTGACATGGTAGGAGTGAACAAAGCTTCATCGCCATCATATTTTGGAATGAGAACGTGATCTTGCTCAAAACTCTTCGCAGTGAACAAGTTCTCAAGAACACAGTCCAGAAGGACTTGATCGAATTCATTGTCTATTTTGCCTCCGTAAATGCATTGACTCAGAAGTGTACGGAGTGTAGTCCATGGAAGACGTTCCGGTTCAACATTCGGTCTGCCTTGAGCAACAGCGTCGACTGCAGCATCCAAAGTATCACAAGCAACACGAAGATCGGCATCGGAGAATTCGTAAGCGGTAGACCAACCAAGAGGAGTATATCTGAAATAAATAGTTTTGTTGTCGATGAATGAAACTTGAAATTTCGATCGAAGTGCTTCAGAATGCACAACTTACCTGAGTCTTTCTTGTACGAGAGCGTGAAGCCAGCAGACGAGCAAGTACAGTCTACTTCTTTCTGTTGGAGCCTTCGTGAGTCGTTGAGGAGGTATACTCGACAATGAACGGAGAAGATTAGCTTTCAATCCAGTAGCTGGTTCGAATACAACTACTCGCGAAGCTCTCATGATTGATGATGGCAGCTTCGGATGAATTTCTGCGGTGAGGAAGAGACGGAACTGTGCATGAGGCTTCATCGAATGCAATCTTTTTTCCAATTGGGCAAGCCAGCTGGGAGCCAAATGAACGTTCTTGAGGAGGACCCATCGTCCCGATTTTGTTGCCGCTGCAAGCGCCGAGTCGGCCTGGCTGAATCCTTCAGCAGAACCGATAGCGATGGAAGTCAACTGACGACTAGTCTCGACAGCGAGATCTTCAATCTTTCCAGATGCATCATATCCAGTGGCTGAGCAAAGCAAAACTGGTTCGGATGGAGCGACTTCATTGTCCACAATCGAGAGTATATCAACTACCTTATCTTGTTGCATGAAATGGTCATCGAAAGCGGTGGAGACTACACGATGTGCCGAGGCCATAAGTCTGTCTGGGCGTAGAGCATGAACTACGATCATGGAGTTCATTGCAATGCACAGCGGCGTGAGTGTGTTATCAGTATCTTCCCAAATGACAGGAACATTTGATTCTGGATTGTCATGAGTCAACCAAGAAGTCACTGCAGCTGCGTTTGATTTCAGCATAGCAAAAACGTTCTCGAAACCGTTCAGCTTGGCAGTTTTGGCAATAGCCTTCTTATTGTCCATAGATAGGAAATCGAGACCAGACGGAATGACGCTTTCGGATTCTTCTGAAAAAAACAGAGCTGGTTTTCGTTGGATTCTAATTGCAGACTGACCAGTTTTGGTGACTACGTCAGATCTTCCGAGAAGCAGATCGAAGTGTTGTTCGTAAGCAGGAGCAGCGGGGTTAGAACGGATATGAATTCTCATTAATAGTAGGGCAAGAAGAACCTTGTCAGTGTGCAGCATTCCACGAGAAACACGACGGAAAACGGTCTGCAAAAAATCATATTGCAAACTTAAATATTTGTTTCTATGCCGGTCTAACAATCTATTTCCCGTAAACAATACTCAAAAGCTTTCTTTATGAAATTCCATTCAAGATACCTCTGAAAGTTCCTCTACACCCTTAAAAGATAAAAGATCGCACCTGGAACAAGCTGGTTGTGATGATTCGCAGTCTCTTGGCATAGTCGGTGGTCGAAGAAAGCTCCGGCGTTTTGAGTACATACGTGAAGATTTCCACCAGAAAGTCGAGCGAATAGTGGTACAAGAAATGGATCTCATTGAGCTGCTGGAGAGTATGATAGACGTGTGAACAAGCGGTAGCGAGTCTTTGGTATTGGGCAGACACGGCATCAACTTCGGCCATGACTTTGTCAGTTTCCGCTGATTTTTGAGCAACTTCGGCAGCCTCGTTCTTCAGTCTTTCAAGAGTTTCAATGACGGAATTATCGTCCAGAATCTTTCCTTTGCTTTCGTTCAACGCTGCCAACAACGCTTTTTCCAGGTGGCGAAGACGTACGGCAAACTCTCCTTGCAGTTTTAGAAGATCGTTACGTTTCTTGTCGACATCCGGTCGTTCACTGCGGAGTACTTGATTGAGGCATTGGCTGGCCAACGAGGATGATGTAACGGTGAAGTTGACGAATGTAACACGAGAGCAGATATCTGGTGAGAACTCGACAGTCGAGTCACGTGTGATCATGAAGATCTGGAAGGATGGTGACAAGTCGATATCTTGATCTCCAATGGTAATCAAAACACGTCCACCAGCTCTCTTGACTTCTCGATTCAAAACAGGATTGAGAATTGGATCGTATGCCTCAACATCTTGAACAAGCAGAGAATTTCCAAAACGAAGAGCGGATTCCAGGTTCTTGCGGAACGAATCATCAAGGAATGAAGTCTTCTGAATGTTCTTTCCGGAGAATTGCTTCATGATGTATTCAACAGCTTGTCCAGATGGATCGATGATCAATGGATAGCGATTGAAACGATGGAGCATAATCGCGTTTTCGGTGCACAAATCATCCACTGGTAACGAGTTTAACTGCCATTGCAAACGATCATCAACGGTTGAAAGATATTCAATTCGAGCCAGATCATGACGGAAGTGCAGACCAGCATTGACGACGTGATTAAACCATTTCTGGAAGATTTCATCACGAATCATCTGATCATAGTATCCAGCGTAGGCGAGGAATGCTGAAGAAAGAAGAGCATCTCCAACAAGTGAATCCATCTGTTGAGAGAATCCTGCACTTCCACTTGACCAACGGTCTCTCTCCGAACGGAGTGACGAGAGGAGTTGTGTTGAACGATTAACTTTTTCTTGAACAGACGAAAGATCTTGTTTGATGTTTTCGGCTTGGCCAATGAGCTGTGCATATTCTTCTTTGTACTTTCCAATGGACTCCTCCAACTCGGTGATTCGCACATCCACTACTTTTCCTTCTTCCGTCTTCTTTGCTGCCTCTTTTTCCAATCGCTTCAGTTCGTTTCGCAGAGGCTCGACCTTGTGAAGCATTGTAGAGTACAATAACTGAGCTCTAGCCCATTTCACCATAGGACCGCAAGCAACTGAAGCTCGATTCACTTTCTCAAACTCCCAATCTGGGTTCTGGATGTATCTCTCCATTTGGCTCAAAATTTGGGGAGTAAGAGATTCGGTGTCGAACTGCAGAATTCTAGTCATAAAGTCTTCTTTCATCATCACTTGTCGAATTGCTTTCCAGTCGGTTCCCACTTGTTCTCCAAGCAAAATGCAAATCGCTTCCAATGTCAACTTCACCGTAACAGGAGGGCTTGACATAGATTTAACTTCAACCAATTGACTCTTCTTGATACCTTGTACAGCAGTTTGAGCTTCTGCAACGGCTGGTTCAACTTGTGCCAGATCACTCTCCACGACAGTTTTTTTCTCGGCCATCTGTTTCAACTGTTCAGCAAGCTCCTTTTGCAGTTGTTCTGAGAACTTCTTCTCCTCTTCAGCCTTCTGTTGATCTCCAAGCATTTCTTTCAATTTCAAGTTAGCTGCTTCCTTCTTCTCCTCCAACTCCTTTCTCTTCAAGTGAAGACTCTTCTGTAGTTCCTCGACTTGTTCTTCGGTCTCACTGATTTTGTTCAATCCGATATTCAAATGGATCTTTTCCTCTTCAAGATCTGATCGCTTCTCGTGGAACACTGCCATGAACTGTTTGATGAAGTCAAGGAAATGTCTAGGAGTACAAGCCATTACACGATGTCCCTTCTTCATCTCCATATCGTTGAATTTCTTCACAGTCTGATGCACAAGACAAAGAGTGTTAACCACTGCATCACGATAAGTTGGCTGCGATGGAATCAAATCACAAGATCCAGTCAAATGAACAGATCCTTCATAATCTGTTCTATCGAGATCCATAGTTCTGGTGAGTTCAGATCCAACTTGGTAGAGCGCGTTGTCACTCCAGTCACCGAACCAATTAAGAACACATCTGTTGAACAGCGCAGGCGATGTAGAAGCACGTTCACGAAGACCACTTCCGGATGGATTCATGGTGAATACCACGTGGAGATTTCGCATAACTTGCTGAGTGAACCATTTGTAGAGTTCGTCGTGGCTGTCAAGAATCAATCCTTGTCGCTGAGCGCCTTCCTTGATTTGAGTCATCAGAGTGGTGTGCTCATCTCCTTCAAACAATCCTGGAACTTCGCCGTTTGCGAGCAATGTATTCAGTCTCTCGAGGAATCCGGTATCAAGCATGTTAGATTCGTCCATAATAAAACAGAGTTTCTCGTTTCGGCATCCGGCTCTTCGCAGTACAGTTCTCATGTCCTCATCAAAGTCAGCAGCAGTGTATTTCGAATGGACCTTTAACTGGAACACACTCAGTCCGTTCAACCAAGCAACAAATCTTGACAGTGTTGTCTTTCCTGCACCAGCTGTACCAATGAGAAGCAAGTGACCTTGTGATTGACGATAAATTCTATCAATACGAAGTACATGATCCAACATTTGATCGAAAAGAACAAGCTTGACATCGAGTTCTTCCTCGTAAAATCCTTTGAGTCTTGCAGAAACATAATCTTGAAGTTCGTCGCGCGTGACTGGAACGTAGTTACGAGATAACCAGCATGAGTAAAGCAATGGTCTCTTGAGTGCTTCATCCAGACGACAAGCGTTTCCAAAGTATTTCTCAGCAGTTTCATCTACCAGTTTGTCAGTCCAGTCGCGTTCATCTTGAGTCACCAATCTGTCTTGGAACAAACGAATTGCCTCGTGCGCCCAAAGGCGTACCAATTGTTCGGCAGAGAGCGATTCCAGCGGCGTGATGGCTTCCGAAATACCTCTCACCCATCTTGTCAGCTCTCTGGGAGAGTACACATAATGTGGTTGATCGTCTTGAGTGAAATGCTCTTGACTGGCAAGGTAGACATCGACCATGGAATTAGTGAGCTGATCTGCCAATCCTCGAACTGCTGGTGTCATTTTTAACATGGCACGATTGAACGTTCCGTAGATCTGTTGTAGAGAAGTCTGTCCAGGGTAATCGACATAAACGATTGGTACATGACGAAGGAACCTGGATGTCATTGGGTGACGTCCTGGATCAGTAGGAGGATTACAAGCTCCAACAAATTGAATACGTTCGAGAGACACCCAGCTGTGGTCAGAAGTTCTGTAGAATCCATTTAATTCAACCAATTGTCGCAGAAAACTGATGACTCTTTGTGTTCCATATTTGTCAGGAGCAGGTAAGTTGATCTCATCACAGAAGATAACAAGCCATTGTGACATTTGGACGGGAGCAAGAACAACTCCATTTGGTGTACGTCTGAAAATAACGATATTGTCATGTTTTCAAGAAAGCCCCTTTTTCCATCCTAAATATTTTGTTTCCACCCAAGCAAGGTCCTTGCCAAGAATTTACTCACCTGTACTCGCAGTAGTGATCAAATGTACGTAGAAGCAGTTCCGGAGTTGTAGACGACGAGAAGTTAACATTAACGACGTCCATTTCCTGTTGAGAACGAAGAGCAGCCAGAAGTGTCATCGTTTTTCCTGATCCTGGAGGGCCACAAAGTACCAATGGCTTGTGCTCAGCAAGCCAAGCAGCCAATAACATTTCGTGACGAACAGTATCGATAGTCGGAACCACAAGATCTGCGGCAGCAACACGATGTGATTCGATTTCCATAGTTGGGACTTTTGCAAGCCATGGCTGCCATTCCCCATTCAATTGAACTTCATAGTCGATGAGACACGCCTGAAATAATGTTTTCAATGGTTATGAATAGCCTTCATCATACCTGTTGATTTGGTGGCAAAGAAATTGTAGTCGCCTGACGAATAAAATCACTCATCATCTCTCTTGATCGCCACTTTCCATCTCCACTGAAAGCCCAAACCAAGTTGGTAAGCATAGATCGGAGAACAAAGTTTTGGATCTGATCAAGTTCCATCGAGTCATCAATGAGTCCTTCATCGTGAGAAACCATTTTGCGAATAGAATATGACATCATCGAGAAGAATGATGAAAGAAGTCTTTGTGGAGTTGGTGGCATGATATGTTCGAGCTCAGCAACTGCATATTTCAGTGCTCCCGGAACGATTCCATCTTGTGAGAAATGTGTTTGAAGAGCTAACGCAGCTGTTCGTTGAATTTCGATAGAACGCGAAGGCTTTGCATCCTCAGCAACCAAATTGACTGGGGCGTTCGATGACGAAAAGCTCACAGCAGACTCGGAATCCAATGGTACACGTCGTATCATGGAGAGGTATCTCTCGAATAGCATCTCGGAGGTTACAACTTCCTCACTGAACCAAACCATTCCGCAACGGGAAACAGTAGCTAAAGTGGCGTACTTCAAATCGGCAACTTCGAAAATGATTCTAACGTTTGGTGGAATAGAGAGACGTTCTCCATTAGGAAGTGTTAACAACTTATTGTCATCCAACACCGAGTTCAAGTTTTCTACCCATTCTGGGTCAACGTCTCCATCGAAGATGATCCACTGACGTCGATCCGCCTCTCCTCTCACATTGTCAATGATCTTACGAATGATTGAAGTAAATAGTCCGTCGGTCCATTCACGAGTGTTTGGATCCATTACTCCGTAAAGAGCATCTTTGCTCATAGCTTTTGCATCGATAACATGAGCTACCCCTTCGACATTTTCCCATCTTTCCAAAGCCTTCAGAAGAACCTTCCAAGCCATTGTTTTTCCTGATCCACTAGATCCAACAAGCATGAGTCCGTGATTGAGATTCGTAATCTGGTAAAGTTGAAGCACTTTGTCTAGCCACATTGATCCCATTTCTCCTTGAACATCATTATGAACGAGAAGATGTTCATTGCAAACAGTCGAAAGTTGTTGACGTAGTCTGAAATAAAAATACTGTTAATAAATTAATTTAACGAGGATGTATTTACTCTTTCATCTGGTTAGCTGTGTAGTGAATTCCTGGGAACACATCGGAAAGCAGAGAGAAAAGCAAAGCAATATCTTCGTTGACGAGTTTTGGAACAAGTGTTTCACAGACAGACTGGATAAGCATTTGCTGCTCAGCAATATCTTCAAGCGCAGCAGATCCCATTTTGTCCAACTTGTCGCGCTTGATGTTTCCAGCGGAGACCAACACATATTTCAGGGCACGAAGTCCGAAATCGTAGTGACATTGAGCAGAGAGCTGTTCCTTGCAAAGTATGAACAATGGAACAATTTTGTTGGCAAGAGTTTCCGCAGTTCGGAATCCTTGAGAGAAAAGCATGACTTGAGCGATGAGTTGACGATCCGGCTGAGTCATTGCCAAACTTCTGAAGAGTTGCTTCAAATTGTCCGGAAGATTGGAACGACCAGAATATCCAGGATTCATTGTGATGAAAATTCCAATGTTTGAATTAACATTTAGCCGTTTTCCAACGAGATCAACACTCATATCTCCTCCAGCTCGAACAGCTTCTTGAATGGTTTGAATTTGCTGAGATACGGCTGAGAGCATACGCTCTTCCAAACGATTGAACTCATCGAAACATCCCCAAGCACCAACTTGGCATAATCCGACCAAAATACGACCCATTGCTTGGAAGTCAAACGTTTCGTCACAATTGAATACTAGAACAAATCGACCGAGTTGGTGTCCGAGAGCTTTCACAGATTCAGTTTTTCCTGTACCAGCAGGTCCAAATGGAGATCCTCCGAGACGAGAATGAAGTGCTTGCGTCATAGTAAGGTAGCAACGATCCGTAAGTGGTGTACGAACAAGTCTCTCTTGGATGCCGAGGTATTCGAAACCATAGTAGAATTGGGCGTTGGCCATCTTCACGACACAGCAGCGTACTGGGTCAATTTCTTTAGGATCGAAATAGAACCGCATGCATTGAAGCCATCCGAAGTCGTTTGCTGCTCTTATCTTTTTGGCTGTCAATTTACGGCATGTGTCTCTCTTATGTACCAGCTCAGTAATCTGAAAGTATGAGTATAATTTTTCATATCAGCTTCCAACTTACCAATGCCTCCATTTTCTTTCTGCGAATTGGTGGTTGCTCTTTGAGTACACTATCTGCCAGCAATTCAAGAGTTTTCACAACTAGTTGTTCCACATTTTCCGCTTCTTTCCCGTCGGCCAATGTTTTCTCCATTTCGTCGCACCACCAAATTTCAGCAGTTAACGTGATTACTTGAGTTGGGTAGTTATCAAGCCACTGAACATAGTCTTCAGTAGTCATAGTTTGGATGTTCATCTTCGAGAAATGAGCAAGCGATGATGCAAGCTGCCTTGCCAGAGTATGTTTCATTTCAGATTCGAGTGCTTGCAGCCAGTCGTTGATTCGAACGTCTTTCGTTGTTACTATCTTGACCAAGTTGACCTTCTCACCCTCTCTTGAATGGAAAGCAGTGATCTAAATCAACTATTCTTAGATTTTTCGTCTGGAAGAAATACTTACCGATCTGTCTTCTTCGTTAATGTCAATGGCAGTGATTCCAGCAAACATTTTCTTCAAATGCTTCTGAATTCTAGTGATGTCTTTGCTGTTTCCCATAATTTCCAACAAATCTTCATCTCCAACAAAATAGAAACGAGGGAACGATGAACGTTCTCTTTCCAAATACTCTCCCAGGGCTTTTTGAATCTTGGCAAGCATATCGGCGAGGCGTTCAAGAAGTCTTTGGGCTCCTTGCATATTCACTACATCCAAAATTCGGGGTGAGGCAGAAACTTTCTTCATCAATGCCAAAACATCAGTAGTGATGGTGGCAAATCTCGAACTTTCGAAAGGAAGTAATGTGGCGATTTCAGCAGAGCCCGAGAAGAGTCCTTCCAAATACACCCATCTTCTTTGAACATCAATCCAAACATCAAACATAGCGTTGATCTTGTTCAATTTTTCATCCCAAGACTGTGCACTCTCTTCGAATTGTTTGTAGTATGGCGACAACTTCATAGCAGAGAGTGAATTCTGATGCTCTTTCAGTTTGTTGAACAGATCGTCCCATCCTTTGATCAAACGAGTTTTGTTCTGATAGTTGACTAGCTCCACCTCATAATTCTGCCAATACTCCCGCATCTCTCTCAAGAATTCTTCCAGAGCCATTTCTCCTTGTGCAACAAGAAGGATCTTCCTGATAGTCGTCTCGTGTCGTAGAATGTCAGCATCCCAAACTGAATATTTTCAGATAATTAAGAGCTGAAACAAAACTGGCAAGCCTACCTTGACCAAGTGTCAAATCGGAAAGATTCCAATTGACGCGCATTTCCTTCATCATTTGATGCCAATGTCTCTCTTTCAACGCCTCGGATTTCAAATCGGCGACCAACGCATTCATTTTACCATAGGTGTGCAGCATCGTCTTCACATGCTCGTAACTGGGATAAGTTCTGCACTTGACTGGAAGTTGCTTTAATTGATTCATTAACTCATCAAGAGATTGGCGAATTTTTCTTGGTTGAACTGATAACCATGTCTTCTCTTTAGTTTCATCGATGCCAGTATATACCGGTTGCAGAGCCTTCCACACTTCCTTCATTGCAGCCAATTCTTCAGTCGCTACTGAAAGCTTATCTCTCTCGGATGGGGCATGGGCGCTGTCTGAGAGATCCAAAGCCACTCGTGCTTTGCGCATCTTGTTTCTTTCTTCGGACAATTTGTTCAACTTCGCTTCATATGCAGTGATCACATTGAGAGCATCTTGTGGCCGTTGAGCACCTTCGACAGGCTTGTTCTTGTTCCAATCCGCAAGAGTTTCACCAGTTCTTTTTTCGACAAGTTCGTCTTCTTGGGCGAACTTGGTTTGCAGGTTCATCATCTGAGTTTGGATGGATGCATCACGAAGACTGAGAATTTCCGCGAACGCTGACCATTCTCCTTCTACATTTTCAGAGTATAACCATTGAGCTGGGAACTGGTATCTTTGCTGATTGAGAAGACGTTGCGATGATCTGTATAGATCGACAGCATCTTGTCCGGCTTTGGTTTGTTTCTTGAGAGACTGCACAAATGAAATGAGTCCAATAGTATCGGAAGTTGAGCCTCCATCAACCGACTGAGTTTCAAGTACATTTCTCCACTTTGAGACAGAGTTGAAGAACTTTTGCATCTCATCACCAACAACAGCTCCAAACTTCACAAGCATTTCCTTATGCCAGTAATCGTACTTGAACAGAATCTTTTGCTGAGCTTTTCCATACTCAACAGTAACTGGAAAGATGACTTTGCGAGTATCCTGCGTATCAAAAACAAGTCGACCCTTGCGAATTTCCATCAACGTCTTCATCCATTTAGAAAGAGATGTTCCCAGTGTTTCGAACAGTTGCTCAGACTGAAGGACCCAGAGAGACTGATAACTGAGCCATTCGCTGAGATATTCTTCCAAGTCCATCATGATCCCATTGACACAATCGTATGCTTTTTCGAGACAGGCTTGTCCTTCCGGCATCACATTCAAAATGTTATGATAAGTCTCGGGCTCAATTTCTTCATTCATCACCATCTGAAAATAACAATTTTTTTTTTTTTAAGTTTTCGAAGTCGATTTTACCTGGAATCGTTTTCCACTTATTCTGGTCTGAGCAGTACACACACTGTGCCATTCGTACAACTGTTCCAGAATCTTCTCACGAGTCTCTCTTGTGCTCGGACTGATGTAAAGCGTTTGGGCAGTCATGCACAACTCGACGACGACATTCTTAACGTGTGGGAGAACAACTTGGCGTTCGCGGAGTTCTTCCACCTCTTCGGACTGGGAGAAAACCAAAGTCCAAACACGTATCGCATCTTCAACTCGACGAGCCAAAATCGCCTCAATTTGACGATCGAGAGTATTCACCCACTGAGCCAGATTGGAGTAGTTTCCAAGAGAAAGTTGGTCAACTCCTTTTTGGATCGAAGTCAGAAGGTTCTCGATGGTTTCCTTGTCGTAGCGGCATGATTTCAGAACATTCAAATCGGCGTTGACGATACGGACGACGTTCAGTAGTTCTTCGCATCTTTCTTGGTATGTATTAACAGTTTCCGCGAGTTTAAGCTGATATTGATCAACCTTGTACGAATCCCAACCAAGTGTAGCACCTGCAAATACGAATCTTTATAACTTTATTCTAAATTAAATAATCCAACCTTCAAGCAACTGATTCTGAATATCTTTCTTGTAACTGGCAAGCAATGAATCAACTCCTTGAACTGATGCTAAAGCTGCATTGACAGAAGAGAATGTACGAGTTGCTTCAATGAGAGATGTAGCTGATGGGTGCATCTGGTTGGCTTGATGAGCCCAGTTGACTATTTTCAACGGAACACGGAATCCCATAGTTTTTAAATGCGAAACTTCCTTGTAGAGCACCAAGCTGTCAAGATTGTAGTTGACTTTCAGCTGAAGTTGCATACGACCATCAACTTGCACTCTGTCGACAGTCAAAATTTTATTTGGAAGGACCCAGTTTTGGGATTGCACTGTTTCGACCCAATCTTCGAACATTGGCTGTGTATTCAATTTGACTTTGAAATTGTCTCCGTCTGCTTTCAGTTGACGTCCATCTACATGGTTCTCCCATTGTTTTCCAAGAACGTCTTCTACACGTTTCATGTAACGTTGGAGTTGCCTCTCGAAGTTGCGAATCCACATTATTTTGGCCGAAAATGGGGGAAGTCCAGCAGTTTGCATAATCTTGACACCTTGTTCTCCACGAGCTTTAGTGAATCTTTCCTGTAACTTGTTAATATCGTCCTTGACACGGTTGATAAGACGAGTTTGATATTCATAAATAGCTCCACGAATGCGTGGACGGATGAAGAGGGCGTTGTAACGACTGAATATAGAGAACATCTCGTTGGAGTTCCGTGATGATTCGAGCTGTCCCTTCAGTCTGGTGGTAATTGCAGTCTCAACGACTCCAATCTGATCTTCGTAACGCTTGAAAGCATTCTCCCAAGCGGGGCTGTCGACATCCAGAAACTCCACGTTTTTCAGTATTTCGTAGGCGATATCGACTTGCTCATCTGGTGACTTCTCTCCTTCAGTCGAGTCAACCATGAATTCTTCTTTGGAACGAGAAGATGAATTTCCAACTGGTCTCAAAACACGTTCAATGACAGTACGGAACTGTTCATGCTGCCTGAAATATCATATTTGCAGAACTTTGTTTTCTATATTATAACATACTTTCTGAATTGAAATATTTGTGTGAGACGTTGTTCCAGACGCTTGTGAACAGCGGTGACTTTCCAAGATAGTTTCGATGGATCGTCACGTTTCTTCTTGTTGATATCGCGAAGAAGCGCTATGAATTTGTCGTACTCGTCATCCCATTTGCTGAACAAAGCTTGACACTGGCTCATGATATCGTTGAACTCGACAATCGGCACGTGCATCAAACTATATGAAGAGAGGACTTTCAAAAGCTGAGAGTTGAGATCTCTGGAGATAGCTTCGACGAGGCGGAGAGCGCGTTGAAGTGGGTATTTGGTTGAACGAAGTTTGCGAAGATGAAGGAAAATTCCTGCGATTGCGTGCGTCAACTTTGGAACGTCAGATGCAGAGACCAATTCACTCAATGGGAAATCTTTCATAAGAGTATTGTAGTCCTGAACAACGGCTAACTTTTGCTTCAATCCAGTATCACTATCGAATGACACAGTTGCGTGGAAACGTTTTCCGCACTTCAAGGCTTCAAGAGTCAACGTAACTTCTTCCCCGTCTCGTTTTTGAGCAATTTTGAGCAGAGCGCGCTCCAAATTGAGCCAGAATGTCATCTCTTGTAGAGAAGAACCACTGCTTGGATCACGTTCAAGTTGAGTGACTTTACGAATTTCCTTCACCCAGCGGTTACATCCAGCTTGAAGAGCGTTGAGGAAATTAGTATCTTCCACAATTTCTCGAAGATCATCCATCTGAAATTCAGACAATTAGTTGTGAATATGGAATAAAATGTTGCTTACAGTCGCATGACGGTTTTCCTTTCTTGCTTTTTCGATAGCATCCAAAATGTGTGGGTTGACAACCAGATTGATCTCCGGAATATCGATGTTTTGCTGAAGATGAAGAAGGGCAGCTTCGGCTTCGGTGAAACATTTTTGTACAGTTGGTGCTAACTTGTCTCCGTCACGTTCTCCTCGTCCACTCTGACTAATGAACGATTTGCAGTATGGATTGAGAATACGGCTCATCACGAAATGAAGCTGTTCCCAAGCGCTCCCTCCATTCAAAGGAAAAGCTGCTACTTGAGTGGCGATCTTCTTATCAGCTTCGATGACGTTGCTTTGCTTCACAAACACCATCGCTTGTCCACGATCCGCAACGAATAGCCCATCGTGAACTTGAAATGTTGCAGGTGCAGTATCTTCTCCACCACTCTCAGCTCCAGCTGCTTGATCACCTTGTTCACGAGCAACGACGCGATCCACAACGAGCACATTTTTGTCAGCTTCAGAGATGAATTCCGTAAGATATGAAACCGAAGAAGTCAGCTCCAAGTCAAGTGTCGCTTGATCTCGCGGAGTCAAACCGAAGTGAGAAGCAACTACTTGAATGACATATTCTTTCACATCTCCTTCCGCTGCAGTTTTTAAGTTTTGTTGTATTGCAAGGCTACTTTCATTACCACTGTCCATAACCTGAAACAAGTTTGATTTTCTTGGAGAAGGAATTCAGGCATGATGAAACGAGTGGTTGAGAAAATTGAAACGAAAAAGAAGCTAGTGATACAAAACAAAAACTGTTACGAAATAGAGAATTAACTGTTGTGAAAGAAAAAGGACATCGGAGAATAAAACATTTCAAACTGCAGCGAGCGAGAAGAGAGACGATAGACAGAGAACGCAACTCATTGTGGCTATTGCAAATAGAACAGAAAATGCGTCCGCAAGTCAACTGCAGAGACTGTTTACACTGGAAAGATCTTCTGCTAATATCGAAATCGGTGACACGAAGCCAGTGCAGCATTTCTGTAGCATTTCAGAAAAGAAATCTGAGATATTGGCAAATCAGTAAATCACAAAACAGCAATAAGAAGCGAAGACACTCCACCGATTCCGGGGGAGGGGTTTCCGAATATGTTAAGAATGTAGTAGCTTCTGTATGATTTCGGTTAAGGAACATCGGAACTTTGTACACTATGTTCTCCAATTAAATGTTCCGAATGTTCTGAATGGTAGAATGTTTGGGATAGTCGATTCTGGCAGGATTCTGGAATAGTAAACTGCTTCTTTTTGCAGTCATCGAAAGACAATTCAACGAGTTACAGGAAGACGTAAAATCGAGTTACAACTCACAAAATCAGCAGGCTTTAAATAGGTTTCACATACATAAGGAAAAAAAATTTTTTTTAACTTCAGCTATTTTTCAAATGCGGTCTAAATATTTGGAGGCCTAAAGTTCCCAACTCCGTATCATCATTATGTTCATCACTCATTAAGTACTCATCATCATCATCATGGTACTTGTTCTTACCGAAAAATGATAATATGTGA